GGTGCTTATTTTTGAATTTTAAAAGCCCTTAAAGGTGCTTTTTTCATTGGGTGTTTTTTAAAAGTGCTTAATTTTCCCTTTTTCAAAATGAGATTTTTCATTTACCATGTTGATTTTGGCTACGAATTATACAAAAAGACACATTGTCCTATTCAAAATTTTTACAATTAATTCTACACCAATCTATTTCAGCGTATTGTCAGTCCATAGCGTATGAGAATGCCATTCATTTTTCACGATTCAATATTTCATGATTTTTGACAATTGTAAAAAACAATGCCAAAAGGTATATATTTTTTTGACATGACGGTTAAAACAAGATAAAACCGTTAATTGTCAAAAATTTTCCAACCCTGCGATATTATTTAAAGTGCTTAAAAATATTTTTTGAGTGCTTGAAAAGTGCTTATTTTTTGTAGAATAATTAGGCTACGCACCCTGTTAAAACGATGTGTGGTATTTACCAAGCAACTTAAAACAGCTGCAAATGATTTTTTATTCTAAAGTAACTTTTACCTTCTAACTTAGATTTATCTACATGTGTGCTGCCTTAAAGGAAAAAAACAAAACATTTCTGAAAGCAGAAATCACGAATTTAAAATAAATTTTTTATGTAATAATAAAAAAGTCTTGTAGGTCTAGAAAATAACAAAAACACTCTTTATCTTTACCTCAGTTTCTTTTTCTCTAGTGTTGTAAATTAGCTATATATTTTCGTCCTTGAACTCCCTTGGTGATTTTTTTCCCTCGTCCAACAGGTCATTAAAAAACCGCTCCAGTTCATCTGTTAAGTTAGCCAACCATTATTTTACTGCAAAATATTATTGTATAAGTTAAATGCATTTTCCTTAAATGTATAAATTAAAAGCTTGAACACTTAAAAATTACTTTGTGGAAATATATTTGTTCAATAATTGAAATTATTCTTTTTAAAAATAATGTTCTGAAAACTAACTTGGTTAATTTATTTATAATTATTTCTTTTTCATTCATTACTTTATTTTACTGTAGATCAATGAGTAATTTTAGGTGAAATGTTAGTTCGTTTAAGAACCCCTCATAAATTTGTTTATCGTTTAAACGGACCCTCTAAATTTTGATAATCGTTAAAAAAACGACCATTTTAGAAAATTTTTATCGTAAAAAAGGCCCTTTCACCAGATAGTTCATAGTTTATCGTTCAAACAGGCCCTTCGCAAAATAGTTTATAGTTAAAACAGTCCTTTACAAACTTGTTGATCGTTGAAGAAACGGATATTTCACATAAATGTTTATCGTTAAAATGGGCCCTTCACAAACTTGCTCATTGTTAAGAAAATGGACATTTCACAAAATTTTAATCGTAAAAACGAACCCTTCACAAGATAGTTGATTGTTAAAACGAATCCTTTACAAACTTGTTAATCGTGGAAAAAAAAATATCGTTAAAACGGACCCCTTACTAATTTGTTTATCTTTAAAAAACTGGTCTTTTACAGAAATTTTATCGTTAAGGCGGACCCTTCAAAAAATATTTTATCATGAAAATATCCCCCGTACAAAACTTTTCTAATGAAAAACAAAGTCTTTAATTCATAATTTTAAAACAAACTTCTTGAAAGAAATAGTTTTTTTTCTTTCCTTTTCTTCGCTCCCCCCCCCCCAAACATTTTTACAAGTTTTTAAAATTATGAGCATATTATTCACAATTTCACAAAAAGTTTAGAATAACTTCTGGATATTTTATTAATAGAATTTTTATTTCATTATTAAACTCTTCAAACTTGACGCTGGAATCTCGATAATTTTGAATCGTGTAAAGAAATAAAGTATACCTAAATTATGATTTAATTTCTAATCACTTATAAGTTATAATGTCTTTTAGTGAACGGGGTGCTAATGTCTGATTAGATAAATATTTTATTTAACTGGTCTTTTCGGTAACCTAGCGTGGTAAAATTACGGTAAATGATCAGGATAACAATAAATGTAAGAATTCTGTAAATGGGATTGTGTTCAAATCATTCACTAAGTTTCAGTGATTTGTGAGCATTTCAATGGTGAAAGGGTTACTTAGGTAAATATAAAGTTTTGAAAAACCATACAATGTTTTGCTATTTTTTTGAAATGAAATTTTTGCCACTGGTCAAAAAAATATTATAATTATTTGAACCCAAATTAAATGTTGCGGATTATGGATCAACATAAAATTTGATTAACTTTCTAAATTCTTTAACATAAAAAGATAATTTATGATGTATGCAGTTAAGACTTTTTCTCAGCAATAAAAATGCATTTTTCGCATTTTAATTAAATACTTTATCTTCTTTTTTAACAATTTATTGATAGTTAATATTTTCAAAGCTAATAAAAAAATATTTAATTAAATTTGCGACACGGAAATAAAGTCAAGATTTGTTGGGGGTATGTTGATATTTATCATTTACTGAAATAGCGTCTAGAATAGACTATCTAATTTATTATCAATCATCTTCATGCGCTATTTATTAAACTATGTCCTAAAGTCAAACTGTTAGCGAGATTAATATTCAAACTCTATGATTAATATTTTCTTTTATTAAATGTATCTTTTATATAAATTTTTCTCAATAGAATTTATATTCTATTGAAAAAATATTTCTACTGCATAAAAAATATCGCATGCTGTTTAATTATTATAGCTCAAGGGAGATAAATGATAAATTCTTTTAAATTTTATTTAGTTATTCTGTCAACTAAGCTGATAGTTAATTAATTAAAGGTAAAATTAAATTACACGTGTGATAAAATGTATTTTTGTTATTTAAAAACTAAAATAAATGAACTAAGGGCCGAATTTTGATGACATCTGCATTTTTTTGGCGTTATTTTCCAATTCTTGCTCGTTAGGGTATTTTTTAAAATTTGGTTTTTAGGGCATTTTTAAAATTTTGGGACTTATTAAATTTTGGGACATTTTAAGGAATTTTTTGAGATTTTAGGAATATTTGCTAATTTTAACAACTTTCACACTTTTAGCTGAATTATACTATTTAATGCATTGCAGCTTGCAATTATTCTTCTAGAAAACCGAAAAATTCTGAATGCTGTCAGTTTTTTTTTTAAAAAAAAAACAAAGACAAATTTATGTTCTACACTTGGTCAATCAATCCACAATGAGCAAAAACTTCATTGACAATTATTATATTGAAACTCTAAAACAAAATGTTTAATTGCAAGGAATATTTTTTTAAATTTTAAACTAAGAGCATTTTTTGATATTTATGAAGTTAATTTGACATTTATGAAGTTTTTGATATTTATAAAGGTAAAATTATAGAGCAGTTTTTTGCTATTTTTAAGGGCATTTATATGGATTTATTAAGTTTTCAAAATCCGGGTAAAAATTGAAACGTCTTAGCAAGATCAATATATATTTCATTAATTTACAATTTATTAAAGATGATATCGTAACAGCAAATAGTATTTTAAATTGTAGAAAGTTAAAAACATTTAGCAGTCGAAAGTTTTATGGGGAAATATTTATCTCAGCTGCTGTTAAGTCAACATAGTGTCTCAAAAGCTCAGTGCCTTATAAAGCAAACACAGAAATTTTTTTCTAAGTGGCATTTTGTGCCACCTAGTGAGTTTCCTATGGTTCTCCTAGAGTGCCATTAATGAAACAGGTGTCGCATGTTTACCACTTGAAAATTGAAGGGGTATGTACATAAATATAGAAAAGCAATAAGTTTTGAGAAAGTTGACATTAAATGCCCTTTGTGTCAGTTTTGCTGTTAATAAATAGGACTCTGCTTAGAAAAAAAAAACTGGGATTTGTTACCGGTTATCATACCTAATAACCGGTACCGGAATCATTTTAGTGCAAAATCTGACACTTCATAAATTATATGTATTTAAAAATGTACAGTGAGCAAAAAAAAAAAGAAAGGAAACATACTGAATAATTTTTTGATCATCGAATTTTCACGGAATAAGGACTCAATAGTTCGAGAGGTGACCTCAAATAAGCTAATTAATTTTTCCAGACGATATTTTAAGTTACAAAATCAGACACAAAAATGTACTTTCTTTGAATAAACATAATTTTTTCCCCTTACCATAAAAATATAGGGGGTAGCCGCAATCTGGGAAAATATGGTGCCCATCGTTGGAGATTAATCACATTTGTGTTTGCATGAATGTTCCCCCCGAACATTTATGTTCCCCCCGAAAAGCATGAAGTTTATGTTATTTTTATTTCTGTACAAAATATCGACGAACTTTCTGAAAACGTGTTCTATGATTTTCCAACGATGATCTAACGATTGTTCGAGGATATTGTTCAAATGGTTGTTTAATGATCGTTGCTTTGATTCTTTGATCCGATTGTTCGAAGTTGTTGCCCGAATAACAGTTTGATACTGCAAAAGTACAGCACGAAAAGTACATTTTTTGATAATATTTTGAGCTCAGTTGTTTCAGTTTTGCGAATAAGGTTTAAGCACTTTTAGATGAATTTGAATTCTGTGCAGTAAGCCTTATGGGTCTTAATATTTTAATGCTCAAACACTATTCAAAAATAAATTTAAAGCATTTATGTCCTGCAGGCGTGCTCTTATCAAAAGACTAAATGATTTTTCACTTAAAAGCATCAAGTATGAGCTATTTTCACTTCTTTGTAATTCTCTTAATAAGGTGTTCTATGATTTTCCAAATATGGTTTAACGATTCTTCGAGGATATTGTTCAAATTGTTGTTTAATGATCGTTGTCTTGATTGTTTGATACGATTTTTCGAAGTTGTTGTCCGAATAGTAGTTTGTATGTTGTTGTAAGCATTATTCACATCTTTCACAGATCGAAATATTTTCGAATTTTTTGCCAGCTTAGCATGTATAAGATTCCTTACGAAAATCAAACTACATTAGATTTGATTTAAAGACAGAAGTCTATAAAATTTAATTGCCAATCCGAAGAAAAGAATATAAAAGTCGTAAATATTTTCTCACTAATTTATATTTACGAAAGCTTAATTTGTTTCAGAAACCAGTTGTCAGTCATGCGAGTCTCTCATGAAAAAGAATGAAGGTGCAATGTTAGCACTAGCACACTGTGATAACATTTGGTGCTGCTCACCAAATTTTCACATTTTTGAACTTTGCTTTCTGGATAATGTCAAAGAAGATGTAATAAGTGTAAAGATACGACTACCTCATGAAAGGACACAAATTAAATTTGATGAAAAACTGCAATGTCAGTGACAAATTCCAGTATTTTATAAAAATATGTGTACATGTGTGCACGATGCACACATGTTCCACTGCTATTTGATCTTTAATATAGTGTTCATCACCAAAGAAACGTTATTTATGAGAATATATAGTCATACCAAGCTTCCTAATTATGTGTTGTCGTCTGCAGTAAATATGAAACTTGACCAAAAATTATTTATTCTTTCAACATTTGTTGTTCTTTATCTCAATTTTGGAGTTGGAAAACCGACGAAATCACCTAAATCACACAGGAAAAAAGCTTCCAAAGGAAAAAGTTCGTATACATCGATACTTTTTATTTTATTTATTTCTTAATGGATCAGAAAGAATTTTTATATCATGATTTTTAGAACGAAATAATCCTTAAATCTAAATGATTAGAATTGAAAATAAGCACTTAAAGCTAATTACAATCAAATTAGGTGATCTTACATTTTTAAGAGCGCTAAAAATAAATTTATCAAACAGAATACTAGCGAAAAAAATATGTTGTTTAAAACAATGAGCAGCAAGAATTACAAATAAATAAAAAAAGCGGTTTAATAAAATTCATAAAATTATAAAAAAAAATCAGATGAAGTTATATTAAAAAGTTCTTTTATTAATTAAAACTATAAAGCTAATTACAAACAAATTAGGTAGTCCTATAAAGATTAAGGCTCTTCAATTTCGTGAGTAATGGTGGTACGTGTTCATCATTGCCTCTCAGGCAAGCTGGTATCCATCCATATGAAACTGTGTTGCTTTCAAGCTACCACCGAGGAAAGAACCCCTGTCCTACCCAAAAACAGCTCAGTACTTTAACCACTGTATAATCGTGACTCTAAATTATTACTTAAAAAAGGAGGGAAAGCACGTAATGGAATAACTATAAAGAAATGTTGGGCTAGAAATATCAAAATCTGTTTGATTGTTGGAGGAAAGAGAGAAAGAATAAATTAGAAAGTTTCATCAAACAATCAAATAGGTTATTTATATTCTTCTCGCCTCCCTTTATAATAATTCAGGGTATTTTAATAGCGTTTGTGTTTTATTTTTTCAATTAAAGTCACCTCGTGTATGTGTATTCTTCTTTTGATTCTAATAATTATTCTAAAAATATATATTAAAGGTGGTGATTACGGTGCTCCTCGTGTATTTAATTATTACAGATACTGTTTTACTATAAAACATTAAAATTTCTCTCTGGTCCACGAACAGCTGTTATATAACTTTTAAGGTGTAGCTAAAAATGCTTGGAGGTTTCCTTTAATTTAAGTGTTGTTAAAAATATGTCGTTGTTAAACTGTTTTGTTTCTATCTAGTTTGCATAGGAACCAATGGGCGTATGTCTGTACCAAGCAATCGTGTACATCATTATCAAAACTTGCGTGATCGTTATACAAATTGTACGTATGTAGATGGTAATTTAGAGCTTACATGGATCAAAGTAAGTATTCTTTTTATTTATTTTTTGTTCTAATTTTTGTCAAATTTGGGACTTATACCTTATTTCATACTTTCAGGATGAAAATTTAGATCTGAGTTTTTTGGAAGAAATTCGCGAAGTAACGGGATATGTGTTAATTTCCCACGTCGATGTCAAACGCATTGTTCTATCTAAACTGATGATAATCCGTGGACGGAATTTGTTTAAATTGAATGTGAGAAATGAGACTTTTAGTTTAATGGTGACTTTAAACAAAATGGAGAATTTGGAGTTGCCAAGCCTCCGAGGTTTGTTCAATTTTTTTATTAATGCTTCTTAATGACTCAAATTGTAGCAAGTTTTGCTAATTTAAAAATTTATTTGACTATGGGCGGAAAAATTTACCAAGTAAAATCGCTATCACGGAAGTTGAAATGAGATTTATTGTTAGTGTTTGAAACAGGGTTGGCAAAAAACCAGGTTTTTGGGGGAAAAAACCAAAAAAATTTTTTGGTTTTTTCCCAAAAACCAACCAGTTTTTTGGGAAAAAACCATGGTTTGAAATGTTGAATTATTTTTAGGGATGATTAAAAATTCTAAGTATTCGTAATTCTGTAGTCTTATACATTTTTATCTTCTACATTTTTATTTTATAAGTTATCCTAGCTTAACAAAATTTGAAAATTACTGATCTTCTTGCATAAGATAGTTTTTTTTATTTATTCTAAACAAAAATTGAATTAATTTTTTTTTCTAAAAAAACAAAAACTTCAGCTTATCAATTAAACTTAAAAATTTTGTTATGTGGATTAATGGGAAAATGTTGGAAAAAATATCATTATTATCCTTAAGTCAATAGATACCAATTAAAAAAAAGTTTCATAAAGATTCGTTCAAAGCAAAGTAAATAAAGCTGATGGTATTGTGTTATAAAGTAATAATATATAATAATTATTGCTTAAGAATTTATTGTAATTCCAAGTTCAGAAAACTGATATTGATAGTTTATGAAATATCTTAATAGTATAAAGTAGTTCTATATATTTTTAGAACACCTGAAATTGCGAATTTAAATAATAATAAAAAACAACAACCTTGGATAGCTCTGTAGATCATTATACGTAGTTAAAAAATAGAAGATTTTTATGACAAAAACAGTTGTCCGATAGGATATAATCTTTATTTTTATTGCAAATACATTTAAACAATTTTTAGATGTATATATTGCTATGTAAGATTTTATAAAGTAAAAGCTCATTATAACGACAGTTCATTATAGCATAAGAAATCATCGTTATAGCGAGCATGTTATAAGCAAATCCACATATTTAAAGTTAAAATAGCAACACAAAAAAAATAAAATAGACATTTTTATCTTGCATTCTAAACATCTATTTTGATTTAAAATACACATTTAGAGTAGACTGCTTTACATATTTAAAAGATAGCAAGATAAAATGAAAAACTTTCTGTGAGCGTAAAATCTTCATAAAAAATAACTTTATGCACGCATTGATTAACTAGTTTCAAACGTTCCATCGACGCCTTATTTTGACGAAATTTGTTTCAAAATTACGCGTTTTTTTATTTTATTAATATTAATTTTTATCGAACTTAATATTGATTCATACCACAGGGATAAGTTCGGTAAAAAGAAATAAAAGCTGAAAATAGAAATGCTTTCTAAAAATAGCAGAACTTATTTTTTGTTAGGAGGAAGATAACTTAGCCGGTGGTCGCCCGTATATTGAAAATTATAAAAAACAATGTTCGTTTTTCTGTATTAATACCAGAAATTCATAAAAATTCCCTATATTTAAACCTTTTCCGTATAATATTGCACTCTTAAACAGAAAAAAAGGCATTTCCTTAAACATTTATGTTGTAATAGTAATTAAAGAATTGTCGTAATAGTAATGAAAGAATTGTCGTAATAGAAATAATAGACTAGTAATTTCTAACTCGTTATAAACATATATTTAAATCTTTAATCTTAGCATTTTGACGATGAATTGGAAATATGTCGTAATAGTAGACTACTCGTAATGTATTTTACTCGTTATATGAAGCTTTTAGTGTATTATCAGTTTCATTTATTTATTTTTTAAAGAAACAAAACATCATTATTTTCGGTTGTTTATACACTCATTTTTGACGCATCTTTTATTTGTTTGTTTTAGATATTTTATCTGGAAGTGTAGGTTTTTATAATAACTACAATTTATGCCACATTCGAACAATAAAATGGGATGAAATATTGAACTCTGCCAAACCAGTTTATGTCTACAATTTCACTCAGCCAGAAAGGGAATGTAAGTTGAAAAAATATAATTTTATTTGATTTTTCTTAACATTGCACTTTATTTTCTTTTATCTAATATAATGAATCGGAAAAATAAAATCGTTTTGTCAGTTTAAAAAAAAACGCGGAATTTTGATGGAAATTTTTGTATAGATTTATAAGAAATTGCTTGATGTAAAGTGTAATAGTTTGATTGTTAAAGTTTAACAAATGTGAAATAAAAAGGTAAAGAAAATAGAAAATGTTTGATTGAATTTCCTGGAATGTCATTTTGATTTTATATTTTTCCATGATTGAATTGAAAACAAGAAAAATATCATAATAGAAAATAAGAATAGATTAAGGAAAAGATGCATAAGGTAATGACATTTTCTCTGATATTTTAAGAAATAAAACAATATTCATGGAAACAATACAAGATATATTTTTTCTCCGTACGTTATCAAATTAAATTAAGCAGGAAATATTAATTTTATATTATTTTCTGAAAAAAATACTGCGAAATATTTGAAACGCAAAACAAATATGAATTTTGGTTGAATAATGTGAAGTTTAAAAATATGAAGTTTAGAAAGAGTTGTTTTAAATAAATTGATATTTATTATTTACTTCAAAGTAAAGATAACTTTATTTTTTTTTTATTTGTTACTGAATGAGAAAAAGACTACTGATTATTTTTCTGACATCGTTTTTCTTCTTCTTTTCATTATGCATTATTTTTTCATATACTTTTGAGTACAATTTCCCAAAAGTACAATAAGAGCCTTTTTTAAAAATAATAATTTTAATTTTCTGTCATTTAAAATTCTAAGAATATGATGTAATGTTTGAAGGAGGTCATCCATAAATTATATCACACTTTTTTTTCTATATTTTTGATCCTCTCCTATACACATCACTTTACTTATATGTCACGCTTTTATATCTACAAAAACATATACTAGCAATTCAGAAACAAAATAAATATAGATTATATTCAATACATAAATATAGATTATATTCAAATTTTAACCATGTCTTTTAATGACATTAGTAAATTTACAACAATGACAACAATTGTACTTATTTCGATGAAAAAACGAAAAATATAAAACCTAATTAAATAAAAATATTTAATCTGCTGATATTAAATATAAATTTTAACCAAAATATGTGATGCCACACTTTTTGGTACTCTTTGTCAGAATATTAAGAATTCCCTTCAAATGTAACATCATCAATGCATGCATTTTTTAAAATTTTTTTTACTTAGGTTTATAAACATATTGCGTTTTTCAATATTTCATAAATTCTTACGAGAACAAAAGCAACTAGACAGACAACTATATTTTTAAGTAAATTGTAAAAATATGGAAGAATTTATTAAGCTCATAGTTATCAGACATCTTCAAAGAAAAGCATTTGTTACTACTATTCGCGTAAAGTTTTGCAGAATTTCTATACTAAAAAAATTTAAATATGGATCAAAACATGTATTCAAAGTATGTTAAAAATTGCGAAAACATATAAATATGTTTTTATAATAAATTATTTAAAAAAAAAACCCCCAGTAAGTTGAAGTTTTTTAATTTTTTTTATTTCTATAACCGTCGTTGAACAGCCGACCCAATTACATGGGTTTACGTCTACTTAGGTTCAAGTCCGTAGCCTTGTAATTTTGAACCCGATCCAGAAGACAAGGGAACTCCTGGATTGAGTATTGGGAGAAATATACCTTCGTGGAGGACTTTTTGATGGAGCTAACCCACATTTGCGTTACATGGAGAGGAAGACCACGAGAACTTTCCACGGATAGCCTGACGACAAGGGGATCCTAACCCATGATCAGTCCCCCATTGAGGATATTTCACGTCAGCACTGTGGTCGGTACAAGCCTGATGCGGAATTCGTATCGACTGGGATTCGAACCCGGTTCGCCTCATTGGAAGGCGAACGTTCTATCCCTTGAGCCATCGCGGCTTCAGTTCAAGGTTTTATAAGTTTATTTTATAACCGTCGTTGAACAGTCGACCCAATTTTATGGGTTTACGACTACTAATGTTCAACTCCGTAGCCTAGTAATTTTTAACCCAATCCAGAAGACAAGGGAACTCCTGGATCGAGTATTGGGAGAAATTTGCCTTCGTGGAGAACTATTTGATGGAGCTAACCCACATTTGCATTACATGGCTCCTCAAAGAGATTCTTCGAGAAATCATCATCAAATATTCTATTAAAAATTAATTTAATTGTTAATAGTCTTGCCATAAAAAATATAAATGGTTTAAGAAGATCTAATTAATGCGAGATATAGCCATGTCTCAAGGATTAAAAATTGTGTCAAAGCTAATTAGGAAACAGATAAATAAGGTATTGCATTTTTAAAAATTCATAATTTATATAATTATGAAACAAAATTGGAAATTTAATACAGGATATTTAATTTTTGAATTCTGATGATAGTATGTTCTTTAGATGAATGTTCATTTTTGTAATAATGTTTAACTCTTTAATATTGTAGGTCCACCTTGCCATCCAAGTTGTGAAGCTGGTTGTTGGGGGGAGGGACCTGAGAATTGCCAGAATTTTTCAAAAATCAATTGCTCCCCACAGTGCCATCAAGGTAGATGCTTTGGTCCAAATCCACGTGAATGTTGCCATTTATTCTGTGCAGGAGGTTGCACGGGACCTACGCAAGCAGATTGTTTGGTATGCAAATTCATAATTCAATTGCTTAAGTGAAACTAGATTTAGAATTATGTAAGGTAGAATCCTTTCCAGGAGCAGATCTAATGTTCATCAACAAGATTTGCCATCAAATTTTTTGTTGGTATCTTCAAAAATAAATAATACTAACTTGAAAAATTACCTTTTTTTTAAAGGTCGAACGGTTTTATTTTTCCAACTTATTGCAAGAAAAGTAACTTCAATTAGTTAAATCATGTATAAATATATGATACATTGATAATATAAGATATATGATACATGTATAAATATATGATACATAAAATATTCAGCGGTGCAAGTTGCAGTTTTGAGCACTTTTTGCATTCAGATATTAATTTAAAATAGATTTTTTAATTCTACCTAAATGAGTCGTTCAATTTATACAAATAGTTGTTTTGTACCCCACAACTATAAAAATTAGGCTATTTTTTAAACTTGCATCAGAAATTTTAATTATCAAAATTTTGCTTTTTTTATAATAATAATAACAGTTATCAAAATAATGCCTATGGGACTTTTTTATAATGAAGAAATAAAAGAAACGAAAGTGGTCAATTTAATCCATTTCTTTGCACATCATTGACCTACCTAAATTGATGTGATGCAATTGCTGTTCCAATTCCACTTAGCTGTTCTATATAGCGTCAAAAGTGCAAATTTGCTGCTCCTAATTACTTCCAAACCAATAAATATGGCAATTCCAAATCCATTCGTCCTAAAAATGAGCGAAAATGTACGGATCAATAAAAATTTCAGCTAAAAACTGCCCCAAACCAGTGGGAATTGCTGCAGATTTCTCCTGTAACATCTATCATTTTAAGAATCGTACATCTTTACAGAAAAACTGACTTAAGTTAAAAACTAAATCATTGGTTTTAATTGCGTTAGCATAGCTATTACTTCTTATTGACCACAGTTGATAATTTTATTTTAGACAAATAGACTAATTGAAGGGCAGCCACTGATTACTATGTTTTGGTACTCATTCATTTACAGCATGTTAACTGCTTATTTTTTTTTAATTGCAGGCATGTAAAAACTTCTACGATGCTGGTATTTGCAAACAAGAATGTCCCCCAATGATGCGGTATAATCCCTCAACATACCAATGGGAGAATAATCCGAATGGAAAGTATGCTTATGGTGCAACCTGTGTAAAAAGCTGTCCAGGTAATTAAGTTTCCATATAATGATAAATTTAACTATCATGTATGGAAATCTCAAATATGCTTATTAAACGTCACAATGCTAAAACGTACTTTCTCTAGAGAAACAAATATGCTTTTTTTCCTAACACATTCAAATCTTCAAACTATAGATCTTCAAAATATAGGTAGCAGCAATCTGGAAAATATAGTCCCAATAGTTAAGTCAGGAGAGTGGTCCAAAGTTTGGACCTCTTAATGCTAATTTTACTTTTCTCCATATCTTCTAAATTTTTTAAACGAATCGATAATTTTTTGCATACAATTAATTATAAGATTCATTTTGTTAGACTGTCTGTATCCATGACGAAGTGTTCTAATTACGAAACATAATGACTTAAAATATATGTTTAATGAACCAACAAAACATAACAAATAACATGCTAGCATTAAGCAACAAGTATTAGCGATGGTAATCTATTAGTAACGTGTTTATATACTCTCTGGATTGGTGAGGCAGTGCTGCTGTTCTAGCAACTACAGGCTGTCGTCATTGATTCATTATTAATGACGGAAGGTGGCATCACAACACATTTACCCACAGATAATTCCATGCAAAAAATAAATTAATAATAGAAAAAAATTTGGATTGTTAGGAAATTTTTTTCCCATTATTTTTAAACAATGCTATTTTATAAGGCAAAATACAAAATTTAAACAAAATTGGCTGTATAGTCTCTGAGAAATCGAATTTTAAAGAAGTTTTATGCGTAAAATTCAATTTCTTAGGAACTATTTGCTCGATTTAATTTAAATTTTGTATTTTGCCTCATAAAATTACATTCTTAAAAATTATGAAAAAAAATGTGTATACCTTACAATTCTAAATTTTTTCATCTAGTATTAAATGAAACACTAAAAATTAATTATTAAAAATTCTTCTTTGCTTGAAATTATCAATGTGCTAAAATTGTTCGATTCGCTTAAAAAATTCTGAAGATCTGGCGAAACACGCAAAAAGTAAAATTAACATTTAGGGAATCCAACTTTGGACCACCTTCTTGACCAAACTATTTGGATCATGTTTCCCAGATAGCGGTTATCTCTTATATTTTGAGGGTCGGAAATTCAAATCCGTTGAAAAAAAGGTATGTTTATTCAGAGAAAAATTGTTTTTATATTTGATACGTACCTTAAAATATCGTCTGCCTTGATTAATTAGCATATTTGAGCTAACCCTCTTGAATAGTATGTAAAGCTCTGATGATCAAAAGTTATTCAGGGTGGTCTTTTTTTTCCCTGCACTTTTTATATATAGCTGTTATTTATTAGTTTCATATATTCCAGATCATTTATTAAGAGATAGTGGTGCCTGTGTTCGAACTTGTCCATCTAACAAAAAAGCTGAAAATCAAGAATGTGTTGCCTGTGATGGACCTTGTCCGAAGAGTTAGTGTTTATTTATTTTGATCAATTTAGTAACTTAAAGTGGTCATGTACATGTTTCATTCAATTAATATAGCAGTTATATTTCAATCATAATTTACTTTATTTTTAAACAAAACTAGTTTTTTAAGAGAAATAATAATTTAATATTCTTTATGTTTTTGTGTTAAACTTTAAACTATAATAGCATGAATTTTCAAGTTAATGTAACACTTAAAGTAATTGACATTCAAAATATATACATAAATATATTATTTTACATCTATGTATATCATACAAAAAATAAGTACGTAATAAAAAAATAAGTATAATTTTCAATTCGCATTGACTATTTTTTTTTATTTGAGTTTTTTTTATTATAAAATTGACATAATTTAAATTTATTGAATTTTCTATCTTAAATATTTAATACCCCTCTTTTTTATAAAATGTAAAATTAGTATGCATTTCAGGAAGAAAACACAGAATTTTTTATTATAGATTTTTATTTACCTAAGTAAAATTTTCTGATTCTTTAATTTCAATTTAAGTTCAATCCTTAACAATAAACAACATCCGATAATTTTCTGAAATGAATACTCTTAAAAGGTATTGTAGGTATTTTTATATTGTTGAAAGAAATCGCTAAGTCTTTTTCATTTTATGTGATGTATAATTAGAATTTAATTCTTTTATATATATATTTAAATTGCAGATTGTCATGGTGTAGATGTTGTTCATGCCAATAATATTGACTCATTTAGAGGTTGCACTATAATAGAAGGTTCAATAACTATTCTGGATACTTCTTTTCAAGGATATCAAGAAGTTTATACAAAGTAAGTACATTTTCACAGTTAAATTTCCTTTGTGTTGGTTTGTAAAATAAAAGAAGGAACAAGATAAAATAAGCACAAATAAAAAATTTAATATATATTTGATTGTTTTTGTCTAAGTATTTACCATCAACATTGTCTTAGCACGGATGATTGTAGAAAGTGATGTTTTTCCTTTGTTTTTGTTTAAAATGTGAATAAGTATTACATAAGCCAAAATTTGTTCAAAAGTGTTAATTTATTTTAGCTTTACCTTCGGCCCTCTTCATGGTCCTATGCACCCTCGAAGACTTGAAGTTTTTAGAACCTTGAAGCAAGTAACTGGCTATGTTAGCATACAAGCTTCGCATCCTGATTTTAAAAACTTGTCATTTTTTGAAAACTTACAAATGATTGGAGGAAGACAGCTAACAGAGTGAGTATAAGGCTATTTCCTTAACCATCCATACATCATATTCTATAAGTTGGGGTCTGATTTTGCCATAAATATGTAGATTATTATATAAATAAGATTTTAAACTTATACCACATTTATTAGCTATAGAGTTTTTCTTTTAAGAAATAATGAAACAACATTGTATTTCAGATACTTTGCTGCCCTGTATATTGTAAAAACGTCATTGGTTTCCTTAAACATGAGGTCTTTAAAGAAAATCAGTTCAGGTAGTGTTGCCATATTGGAAAATGAGAATCTCTGCTTTGCTGACAACCTCAACTGGCAAAGAGTTATGAAATCACAGTCTCACAGTATTCTTCTTCAAAGCAATGGAAATAAAACGATGTGTGGTAAATATATTATAAAAAATTTTCTTGTTACAATATTTTTATAGTAAATTGTATAAATATGCATAACATAGGATTTTAATTGTTAACAGTAGATTATTTTATCATGTAGTTTAATAATCCATAACATGAGTTCATTTTGTCATACTAAAATTTGTTGAATTACATTTTAGTAACATCTAGTTCTATGTTGAAACAATGCATTCAAGTATGCTTATCCATTTTACATAACAAGAAAGAATTGATAATACTGGGGAACAAACTTTTTGCTGAATTTATGCAAACATTTGTTATTGCCTTATTCGGGTGCCGGGATTTAAAATCTGATTGGATTTTTTTAAATGGCATTTTTAGTCGATTTTGTTTTGTTTTGAAGATGTTTTAAAGCTGGCATATATTTGCTGTTAGAGTTATAGATTTAACAAAAATAGACAGTAAATTAAAGATAACCAGCATTTGAAAGGATAATCAATTACATTTGGTTATCGAAGGACGTTATAATAAGTTATTGATCAACAGTGTGTAAATAAATAAAAAGGTATATAAATCTTTATTTTAGCAGTTGACAAATATATATTTTAAAAATATTTTGGGCATTTTAAAAATGTTCTTTAATTGTATGATCACATAATATAGTATTATTAATGATCTAGAATAAAAGTGCTTGTAAAGTTTAATTTTTCAATCATAACATTTAACAAAAAATGTGTGTTTTAAATATATGTTTTTAGTTAGCAATAATTTATTTTTAATTTTTATTCTTACAGAAGAGAAAAACTTGAAGTGCCACTTACAGTGTTCAACTGATGGTTGTTGGGGTTCAGGTGCAAATGAATGCTTATCATGTAAATCTTATAAACTAGATGACACTTGCATCGAAAGATGTGATGTTATGGAAGGGTATGCTTGCTATTTGCTTTGCATTTTTTAAAAAAAATTTATATACATGCTTAATTTATGATTATTATGTTATAAAATTTTGAATTATTTCATTGTAATACTAATGTGTGCATTAAAACTGCAAATATTTTAAAAACTTTGCAAAAGACTTATTTTTATTTCTCTTGCCTTTGAAATAAAACATAATTTGAAAGCTATTAAATTTGGTTTAAAATAGTTGTTTTTTAAACATCACATTTCAAAAACATTGTCTTTACGTGTATTGCTATATTTTTGCCATCTTACTTATTTATTGATAAATATAACTGGGTAAATATGTAAATGTTCTGAAATATTTTTTTAAAATATCTAATGATTATTAAATAGATAATATCTATGTGGGAATTTCAAATTTCTTGGAAGTATGTTAACAAAACATTATTTTTCCCTCCTTTTTTTATTTTAAGCAAATTGATTTTTCACGGATAAATAAATAAAAGTATGATTAGAAAGTGTGTTTTTTATTTTACTACAACTATTTTATTTATTTTTTTGTAATTGTTTAAAAGTATTAAAATATTTCCTGCTTTGATTTTCAGTATTTACAATGCTGGAATGAACTTATGCAAGCGTTGTCATCAAGAGTGTTTAGGACAATGTTTTGGTCCTGTAAGTACAATTTATAGTAGTATATACTTAATCAAATCAAAATTCACATTTCATGAAAAGTATTTACTATTAAAATCTGCACTTATATTATTCTTACATTTCAATAGGATTTTATGTTACAGTTATTTATGTATTTAAATGTATATAGTATCATATGATGTGCCATGACTCTTAAAAGAAAGATTTGATAAAGAACTAAATTAGAATTTGCTAAAAAAAAAAAAATTCTATAAAACATTTTTGGAAAGGAAAGTAAATTTCTTGTTTTTCTTACATTTCTTATAATTTATTTTTAATACAGTAAATAAAGAGAAAGTAAAATAATATTTCGATGAGTTAAAGAAAATCTGCTTTCAACTGCATAAAATTTAATGTAGAATTAACATTGTATTCCTCAAAGTATTAATTATAAATACATTTAATTTAATTATAAATACATTTTAATTTAACATAAAATATTTTCAACTCTGTAACGGTAAAAAAACTCTTAGCTATTATAATAGCCATCTGCTTCAGTGCAATGCCATAAATGTACTTATGGACTAAGTAGTAACATTATAGAAAGATTTGCACTGCACTGAGGAACTTCAGCCAATGAAAAATATTTACCTCTGAGGTCACATTTGAGTGCCTGTGCAAATTAGGGAAAACTTTATTCAATATTAAATTATATATACTTAAGGTGCTTAGCGCTTTTAAAAAATGCTTAAAGGTGCTTATTTTCTATTTTCTCATTGGGTGTTTTTAAAAAGTGCTTAATTTTCCCTTTTTAAAAATCAGATTTTTCCTTTACCATGTTGATTTTCGCTACGAATTATGTGAAAAGAAACAGTTCACATTGTTCTATTCAATGTTTTCTCAATTAATTCACCCTCAATCTATTTCGGCGTATTGTCAGTCTGTAGAGTATGAAAGCGCCATTCGTTTTACATGATTAAAAATTTCATGATTTTAGACAATTGTCAAAAACAACACCAAAAGTTGTATTTTTTTTTTGACATGACGGTTAAAACAAAATAAAACCGTCAATTGTCAAAAAATTTCCAACCATGCATAGTTATAATATCTTTCAAAAGTGCTTAAAATATTTTTTTAGTGCTTAAAAGGTGCTTATTTCTTGTTGAATAATTAATTTATGCACCCTGTTACTGTTCGAGCTTTTTCCTAATATTTTTAGTAGCAATTTAGTTTATCATACAACAATTAAGTATTGCTGCCTTCAATTTCTAGTAATTGATTATGATTTCGTTAAACTTTTTAGGGAAATGGTAACTGTTCTGCATGTCGTCATGTCCGTGATGGCCCTTATTGTGTTAACAAATGTCCTAAGGCAAAGTACAATGACAGTGGTGAATGCAAACCTTGTCACTCCAACTGTGTTGATGGGTAAGAATGTTAATTATTAAAAATGTCGTTTCTCAAGTTGGATTTTGTTAAGAACAGAATTAATCAGTGATCAATTGATATACTGTAATCAATTGATATACTGTGATTAATCCTCTTAAATTTATTAAATTTCACTAAAATGTTTAAATTGTAAGCAATTTAAAGATATTTGGTAACTTTCTTTTAAAAGTCTTTTTACTCTGATTCCCGTTTTGAATAGCTATTAAATTTCCTTATGCAAATTAAGTTTTTATTTTAATACTGATAAATATATTTTTTAGATGCTTTGGGCCTGAAAACAACATTGGTGCAAATGGTTGCAAGAGTTGTGAAAAAGCTATAGTTCATGCATTTGATCCCAATATTGTTGTAAGTGATAGTTTGCATTGCTCCCACCAATCTAATAAATATTTTATTGAGCATGATATTTAAAAATATTGTATTTGTATTTCAATGTATTAATAGACTAAAGTTAGAATTAAATTTTGATAAAACTCATGATTTTAATAAAAAATTTACTTTGAAATAAAATGTAAACATTTAAACAAAATTTAAATGCATAATTAATACGAATTGTTTAATATTTTACAACAGTTGTTTGTTTTTTATTAACTAGCGTAATATAATTTTATTATGAAAAATAAGTTAATGAATCATTCTTAATATACAATGTACTTAAAAAGATATTGATTTTTTTGCTTAAATGTAAGAACGGAAAGAAATTTAGTAATTGTGTAGAAATCAAAGTTTGCAAAAAAACTAAATAAATACATATTAGTAATATTCCGTACATAGAATAAAACAACAACATAATATTATACTTTTGAGTACATAACTATTTGATTCTCATTTTTAGGAACAATGTTTAAAAGGAGATGAACCATGCCCAGAGTCATACTATCTCGAGTATATTGGCCACCAAGAAGAAGGATCATTAAAATCACTCACAGGAAAATCGGTATGTAATTAAAGCCGTAAATATTCTAAAATAGTCACAGTTTTGATATATTTCACATATTTGGTAGTGATATTTGGATTAATTAAAAGAAAGTTTTTTTTGTGAGAAATTCCTTTAACATTGTAGAATTTAGGTCAAGTCAATGAAAAAATTTCAGTAAATATTTGTAGCACTTGATGTCATTCTACAAATTGTTTACTAAATAATTTAATTATTTGATATGAAAATAAACTTGGCAGTGAAGTTTGCATATATGTGCAATAAAGGGTGCACTCTAATCATCGTTTTTAATATATACCTTCAGGATCTGTATTAAAATTAAACTTTTTGTGTTTACAAATGATGATTTAATTTAATTGAAAAATTCAAATGTTTATCAAATACTGCTAAATCATGGTAGGGGTCTGTGTAGGTCGAATTTACTACCCTTTAGCGGTACCTTCACAAATTCAACTTTAGGAAAAACGGTAGTTTCACAAAATACTTTTTCTTAAAATTTTATTTTTGTATACCTTAAGAAACGATAAATCCATATTTTTGTGCTTACTTTTTAATATAATTCTTAATTTTTCATAAATTATGTCTAAAATTTTCACAAAATAGGTACCTCTCGGAAAAACCTAGACAGACCCCTGCACTTTGTTTTCTTGGAATCTTAACCCAAAATGTATTAAACAATCATAACCCAAAATGTATTAAACAATCGTAACCCAAAATGTATTAAACAATCTTAACCCAAAATGTATTAATAATCCAAAATCAGGGGTCTGTCCAGGCCGAATTTACTACCGCTTAGCGGTACCTTCACAAATTCAATTTTAGGAAAAACGGCAGTTTCACAAATTCAACTTTAAGAAAAACGGTAGTTTCAAAGAATACTTTTTCTTAAAATTTTATTTTTCTATCCCTTAAGAAACAATAAATTCATATTTTTGCATTGATTTTTTAAATATAATTTTTAATTTTTCACAAATTATGTCTAGATTTTCACAAAATAGGTACCGCTCAGAAAAACCTAGACAGACCCTTGATTGTATTATATTTATTGAAAGCACTTTCTGTTTGAAAAAGTAAAAAAGTAGAGCCAATAATTTAACTAATTATAAACAATAGGAGCCAATTTACAAATCACACACTGGTATTAGTGTAAAAGTTATCAGAATTCCATATTGTAATTTGTATTAAAACAGTTACACTTCTAAATGTTCTCTCAAGAAAAGTTTTAAAATGTAAATGTTGCTAACTCTAAAAATATATTTAAATCGATGTGTTCTTTTAAAATTAATAGTTTGTAAAAACATTTTGATAATTACACTTCTTCCAAATGTTTTCTCAAGAATATTTTTGGAATGACCATGTTGGTGACTGCAAATTCTTTTTTGAAATGTTCCAAAATATGTAACGTGGATGAGCTGACGTGGATGAGAATTCCACATTTGTTCCACATTTTTGTATTTGGACTGTTTCTATGATCTTTAATACCTAAACTTTTAATATGATAGAAAATTAAACAATACGAATTGTCTTTATAGGTGTGTCGTAAATGTCATCACCAGTGCAAAAATTGCACTGCTTATGGTATACATTACTCGATATGTAAGTGTTTGCATTACATATCTGGCGAGGGATGTGAAGATAGTTGTCCACGTGATCATTATCCTGATGAAGAAAATAATATTTGTGTTAAATGTGCAGAAGAATGCCGTGGGTGTAGAGGTCCTACAACAATGGATTGTCTGGGATGTCGTAACTTCCGCATTTATGATTCAATGAATTCTTCAATGGTAAGTCCATTTCTTATGATCATTTTTAGAACTGGTATCAGTTCTCATAGCATAAATTTATAAAAGTGTGAATCACTGATCATCCTATTAGTTTAACTCTATGATGTTAATATTTACAAATGTAATAAGTAATCTGTTTTACTAGTTACCAAGATTACAAAGTAATTACTTAAGTAACTTGCTCTATGTGATAAAAAGATGCAACGATAACTGAATTTTAATATGAACTGAAGCAGATAATAGTATTGGGACTTTTTTACGTAATGTCTCAGATAGATTAATATGCAGTTTCTTAGCTGTATAACCCAGCTTTTAAGTATCAATCAGGACAGATAGAAATGTTTTAAGTATTTTTGGTAGTATTATGACATTTCTAGTCTGTATTTTTTTTTATTAAGAGTAAATTTATGAAGTATATGAAAGTATATGAATTTATAAAAGTAATAAGTATTGTGTTTTACTAATTACTAACATTACGAGGTAGTTATTTAAGTAACTTAAACGATGCAATGATAACTGCCTTTTAATATGAACTGAAATAAAGAATAGTATTGTGATTTTTTTATGTCTCTGATAGATTAATATGCAGTTTCTTAGATGTAGAATGCAACTGGAAAGTATCTATCAGGACAGCTAAAAATGTTGAAGCATTTTTTGATAGTATTGCGACAATCGCAGTATTTGTATTTATTTTTTTTAAAAATTTATAATTATGAAAAATCATTAGAATACTTAATTTCTTCCGGAAATTAAGAATTAAAAGTTAGTTAATTTATAAGAATAACTTTATTCTAGTCCACGTCTAGTTATAAGAATAACTTTATTCTAGTATTTAATAATCAAATTACATAATCTTTCTCTCTTTTCTTTTCTCTTGTAAATAACAGTTTTTGGGTAATAAATCCTTATCTTTGCATTAATCATTAGTCTTATAAATCCTAACTGCTCGCTCCATCAAATGAAGAGTAATAACTGTCTAAAGGTTTTTGTAATAAATGTAATCATGTTTAAATTGTGTTATAAATATTTTTGTGATTATTATAATTTTATATTTTAAAATTTACATTTTTTACTTTCAGTTTAATTGTACAGCATCTTGTCCTTCTGATAAGCCTTTCAAAGTATTTGATGACAATGTAGCGGATCCACATTGTTCGGATGAAGGTGCAAATGCTGTTGCATTGCATGGGCTGTAAGTTCTTGGCAAAGTTTTGAATTTCCAAACAATTCATTAGGATTTATTATGTTTACGTATTAAATTATAGAAAAAAGTTGTGTAACAAAATTAAGTATATATTCCAGTCCATTAAGTTATTTCATTATTGGCTTCATTTTTCCATAAGTTTTAATCCTTAATGAATGCTCTAGTGTTCTATTTCTATTAAATGAACTAAATTTAAAAATATTAAGCTTAGTCAGTTTTACTTGATAGTCTAAATTTATCCTTTGTTAAGGTTATAAACTATTTCATTTCATTAAAAAAAAAGTTTGTTTAAGGCAAAAAATATTTCTATTTCTGCTTTTTTATAAAATTTGAAAAATATTTATTGCAATTTTAAGTATTTTGTAATTGCATTTTTTTGTTTAGTTTGTATGGTGGAGTTTTTTGTGACATCAGAATAAATTTTCAATTTTATAAGTTATAGCAAAAGGAATAAACGGCATCCGTGATAAATCTAACATTGAATTTGTGACTAAAACCAAAACCTAATTAATAATTTTTGTAAGTTATGTAATTGTAACAATTACAGTAAGTTAAATGAATAAAACGTCAATTTAATAAATTTCAAAATAAAAAAGTGAACAATAAAACCCTATTCGAACCTTGTTTTTAAAGAAAAGTTTCTTGCTAATTTAATTTTAACTTCATAGCTCTACATTTTTTTTACAGAGATGATGACAATATAACTGCAATTATTGGTGGAGTGATGGGATGTTTTGTTGTGATTGGAATATTTTCAGCCATCTTCGGCTATCAGTGTTTGCAGAGAGCAAAAACAAAAGAAAATACTGTGAAAATGACAATGGTAATTGCATTTATCAACATTTCTAATTATTAAAACTTTATTTTTATAATAATTACTGAAAAATATTTTTTAATTTAAAAAAAAAAATATTTCAGCACCCTTACTGTTTAACTAAATCTCACTTTATTTATAAAGAGGGACTTATAATACACAATAAGACTAGTGATATAATTATAATAATTCATAAATTATAATACACAATAAGACTAGTGATATAATTAAATATTTTAATATTTATTTAAAATTATAATATTTTTTAAAACAATCAATGTATTTACAGCGTATGAGTGGCTTTGAAGATAATGAACCACTGAAGCCAACAAACGTCAAACCCAATTTGGCTAAATTACGTATTGTCAAAGAAGCAGAATTAAGGAAAGGTGGCATTTTGGGATATGGAGCATTTGGTACAGTATATAAGGTATGTAAAACCAGTTTATTTTAATTAATTATTGCCTTTTGAAAAGGCTTTCTAACTAAATTAATAAATAATTCTAGGGTGTTTGGGTTCCTGAAAATGAAAATGTTAAGATACCAGTTGCAATCAAAGTTCTTAGAGATGAACGAGGAGAAAAAAGCACAAATAAAGATTTTCTAGAGGTTAGTATCAAACTTGTTAACTTAACGTTTGAATTTATTTAATTAATCATAGCACTAAATTTGTATAAATATCAATTATTTACATGCATCAGAAAATTGGAAGTGTATACAGGTAAGAAATTATATTTGCAAGAATGTAGTTTAGTTTGCTTTAACTTTAGTGGCTGACAACATTTCTTTTTGATTTGTTGTTTGCATGTTAACATTTAAAAATTAAAGAAAGTGGATTTTTGTTTTTCCATTCTTTTAATGTTTGTATTTTATTTTATTATCTATTGTTTTTTTTTCAATACTCAGTGTTAAATGACTTATTTTTATTTCTCAAACAAATTGGTGATATTGTACAACAAGAACTTCCTAAGATGGTGTACTAGAGTTTTAAAAACACAACTAATGAGTACATAAATGGATAGTGCAGTGATAGAAGTTACAATTACAAAAGGAATTTATCATTAACTGGGGTCTGTCTACGTTTTACTGAGAGGTACCCATTTTGTGAAAATTTAGACATAATTTGTGAAAATTAAAAATTATATTAAAAAATCAGCACATAAATATGAATTTATCGTTTCTTAAAGGATAAAAATATAAAATTTTAGTATAAAGTATTTTGTGAAACTACCGTTTTTCCTTTACTTGAATTTGTGAAGCTACCGCTAAACGGTAGTAAAGTTGGCTTGGACAGACCCCTGATTAATATGAAATTATATAAGGTTCTGTGAAATGAATTAATTTCACTTCAATTTTGGAATTCTTAATTTATGAGTGTTAAATTAAGGTTGTAAAATATTTATATATTTAATCTTTACACATAATTTAACGCATAAGCGCTAAAAAAGTTTTAAAAGGCAACTCAAGATTTTGGAATACAGTGCATCTATATCAAATTGAAGGGCTTGGGTATTATGTAATGATAAGGCACATGTAAGTTTTCAATAGAGCATTTTTGGTAAAAGACAAAATTTCCATGCAGATAATGAGATGTTGGTGTGTAGTTTGATGTTAAATAGAAGAAAGTTTTAAGAACCTATATGGAAACAGTGCTGAATAACATTTAGATGTAAAAATGTAACCATTGAAAAAAGTGTAGTATATCATCAGATTGTATAGGGCCCTTCAAATAATAAATACTTTTAGTGTATAAAACATATTAAAGATATACTTTAAATTATTGTACACTAGTTGAAAAATGTTATATGTTGTTAATCTCTATATCAAACAAAATATTAATCAAACAACAACAAAATAAATCAAACAGTAAAAATGACACTGATGGAAAAACGTGGTTTATCACTAAAGTGCCACCAATCTTTAAATTATTCTATGTTTTTCAATGAGTAAAACAGTACATTTTAAATTAGACAATTAAAAAACGCAGTCATATGTTGTCAATTAGTGTGAAACAAAACAAATCAAACTGTAACTTTACACAACCAAAATAAATTGAACAGCTCGATGTAAAAATGTCTTCTTTTAAAAAAGTGTGACCACAAGTCTTTCAATCTATGTATGCCTTTAGTGTGTAAAACATGTTTAAAGGCAGATTTTAAAATGTTTGAATATATGATAAATGCAATGTTTGAATATATGAATAAATACTGTCAGTCTCTGTAGTAAACAAATAATTAAAATCAACAATGCATTTATATTACAGGAAGCATATATAATGGCAAGTGTTGATCATCCAAATCTATTGAAGTTACTTGCTGTTTGCATGGCTTCTCAGTCCATGTTAGTAACACAATTAATGCCTCTTGGTTGCCTATTGGATTATGTTCGCAACAACAAAGACAAGATTGGTTCCAAGCCCCTTTTGAATTGGTGTGCACAGATAGCTAGGGTAAGACTACATATGCTTATATTTCATACAATACTTAAACATTTATGACTCAATTTTCATATGAATTTAAATGTAAATTTTAAGTTTTCATCATGATTTCAATGTGATTGTTACAATTTATTAATAACTTAGATAAGTCCTATTTTTAATGATTTATTTTTTATTCATTTCATAACCATGATTACAAATGAAACTAAAGAATTACTTTTTATGTTTGGCTTTATAAAATAAGTAAATCTCATGTAATCTAGATTAATGAAATTTGCATCTAGGTTAATAAAAAGGCTGTTTTTGTTTTTTATGAGTTAAATTATTATATTTCAGTTGGGCTTATAAATACTATTTTAAATGTTAGATATACTACTCTAAAATTGAAAAGAGAAAAAAATTAATAAATGTGTGCTTTACCTTTTTTTTTCATTTGTGATATCCATCATTTTATATTCAGAGTCACATCTAACAAAAAAAAAGAAAAAAAGACATGACTATTTTTTTAAAATAAAGATAATTTCCATTGATAAAGATATATTAGATTATTTACTACATAATATTAAAATAGTTACTGTGTAAGAATAGTACATTTATTACAATAATGGATCCATTAAACCCATAGCTCCATTACCCTCAATACAAAATAAATAAAAAGAGTAAAATATTGTTCAAAATGTTGCTTTAAAACCTATATAATAAATGTTTATTTCTTGGACTGTAAATAATGTATTGCATTTTATTGTCAATTATGTAATTAGCAATTCTAAAAAAAAAAGCTCCATCAAAATATATCTCTAGTGTACAAATATTTAAGAGGTTGTTCTTTAAGCTATTTATAATGAAGTTGTCGATTTGCATATTTTCTCGGATTATTACCATGCAATGATGAATAATCTGAATTCATTATTATACTAAGAATTTGCATTTGTTTTATGTTCTTATTATTATTGTTATAAATGCATTTATGTTCAGCATTTTATGTATCTCTGACATGGAATTTTATACTTAGGGAATGGATTATTTAGAGCAGCAACGAATGGTTCACCGAGATTTAGCTTTACGAAATGTTTTATGTAAGTACATTTTATATATCTATTAGTAGGTACATTTGATAGGCAAACCAGCTGGTTGTCAAAAGTGGTTAGTCTAAAATAGCTACTAAGACTTTTTGTTATTTTTCTTTTAACAATGACTTCTTTTCTTTCATTGTTTAGTGCAAACTCCAGGATGCATTAAAATAACTGATTTTGGTTTGGCCAAACTGCTAGATATAAATGAAGAAGAATATAAGGCTCATGGTGGAAAGATGCCAATCAAATGGTTAGCTTTGGAATGCATACAACACAGAGTATTCACCCATAAAAGTGACATATGGGCATTTGGTAATTATTATTATGCCAATAATGAATTAATTTTTTTAATGATATGATAGTTTTTGTGTTATCTGTAATTTAATTTTTAATATTTGTCTCATCATTGTCATTTAACGAAATTTTTAATTTATTATTGTGATAATTTAAATATTTCTACTTCTAACTTTCTAAACTTTGATAAATAGAAAAGACATAACATGTTTTAGTAATACTCTTTGATTTTAACCAAGTAATTTTGCGAATTTTGTTTATTTAAAAAACAGCTAAGATTGAAACATACAAAGAGAAATTAATTACTGAGAGAAACGAGTGGTAAAATGCAAATTTTTTGAAAAATTAGTTGTAGACAATTTCAATGTTTTTGTATCAGTAACAAGAGCTAAAAAATGAAAAGAAGAAACTAAATTTTAATTTTTCTTTACATTTGGAAATTGTTTTTTTTTCCATTTAAGTTTTTAAATAGATATTGATATAATAAATTTTGAATAACTGCAGTTGTAAACAATACCTTTTTATAGTCAAATACAAATCAAACTGTTTGTACTAGTTAAAAAAAATAGTAACTGAAAACAAAACTGGCCCATATCTTAAAAATTAATAGAACTTTTTAAAATCTTTACGACAGCTTCTCATAGAAGAACTTACCAAATTTTTATTTAATTTCTCTCAAATTTTCTCATTTTGAACTACAGTATATATTTAAAATTAACCTAAGTAAAGCAAACTTTTCAAAAGTAAAGCAAAAAAAATTTTTTTTTTTAGTTGTCTATCATGTTTTACGGTATTAAACTGAGTACATATATTTTTAATAGGTGTGACAGTTTGGGAACTTCTGACTTATGGTGGCAGACCATATGAAAATATACCAGCTAGGGATGTTCCTGGACTTCTAGAAAAGGGAGAACGATTGCCCCAGCCGTCTATCTGTACTATTGATGTTTATATGATCATGATTAAATGTAAGTGAATGCATATATAATTTTTAAAAGAAATACTTATCCCATTATTACAATACTGAGTGATGTAATACTTAATCATTCAGTATTGTAAGTTTCCATTAAGAGTTTATTGAGTGTGGTTGTGGTGATAGAGATTTCTAGACCATTTATTATTATTATGATTAGTGAATTGCATTATATAAATGTAGTTACTATTATAATAATTCTGTTCATTTATTTATATATTTTCTGAAAAAATATTTACAGGTTGGATGTTAGATGCTGAGTCCCGACCATCGTTTAAGGAACTAGCAGATGAGTTTGCAAAAATGGCAAGGGACCCTGGAAGATATCTTGTAATCATTGGAGACAAATTGATGCGTTTGCCTAGTTACACCCCTCAGGATGAAAAAGAATTAATTCGAAATCTGAGTATGCCAATTGAAGGTCCTGAGGTGATAATGGATGCTGAAGAGTATCTGCAGCCTGCCAAACTGGAACAAACCAGCACAGATTCTCCTCCTCCACCTACACCAATTAAGGTGAAATATTTTTATTTATAAATAGATTTTGTTCCCACCACATTTCTGTTAAGCATGCATTTACTGTTAAATACTTAATTGCATTTACTGTTAAACTTAAATGTAACTTTTTTTGAATATTTGCTGCAGGCAAAAAAATTTCATAATTCCTGGTAGTTAAGGAGGAAAAATTTTATTATTAACAGATTATAAAAAAAATTCTCAAAAATTGTAATTTTTGTTACCCAACGATAACATCGTAATTTTTACTACGAAACCCTAATAACGACAATAAAAAATGCAATGGAATATTAAACTAGAAGTATTAAATTTGCCTGCGAGCACAAACATCGTTGATCTTATAAATTGAAATAAGGTAAAATAGTTTCTGCAAGCGAGTAATCTGTAAAAATTTTATAGCTTGATTTGAAACTGCTTGTAAAACATTTAATCAAAGCTCATGATTACAAGACAGAGAAATAAGATAAGATAGTTTTTCATTTCAAGGCTTAAACTGCAAAGATGCCACTGTTCAAAATTAGAATTTCTAACTTTGTATGAGGTGTTTAACTATCAGCAATTATCATTGATCATGTACTTAGCTGTCTACAGTTGCATTACAGTTGTGCAATTATAAATCCATTAAAGAAGGATATTGTTTTTTCACATTTGTATAATAAGCAGTGAAAAAAAAAAAACAACGAAAAATACATATTACAACTTTTACTATATAGTTTTAATTACGCTTACAAATAAATTATGCTTAATTTTGCTTAAGCAACAATATTTTTACATTGAAATGTGTTTTTAGTTACAAGTAGTCTTTCTACTATTTTTTGATATTCTACAGCACTTCTGTGATTATATTTTTATCTGCTTTTTACGCTGTGATTTAAACGCAATTTCTTTGGTGCAAATAAAGCAATAATTATTAATTGCGTTTTTTTTACATTTTTTTATTGATAATTCTTATTTGTTATTAATCATTAATTTTAAATATTGATTTTAGAAATTCATGGATGATAGGGGATTTGACGGAGACTCTATGAACAATTCACCCAATCATTCTGATCATAACCATGGTGAGCTGAAGGTTAATAACCATGAAAACAACACTGGATTGAACAATGGTTGCCATAACAGAGATACCAGCTTGAGCACTCGATACTGTTCAGATCCGCTCACATCTTTAGAAAGAGGTAGCTACGGATGATACAATTCTGTTAAGCTATTAATTTAGTAATCAGCCATGTGATAATTACTTTATTATTTTTACATTAAAACTAAAAATTCAGATAGCATAATGGAAACATTTAAAACTAAAAATTTAGATTTCGGTTAAAAAAAAATATTTGCTATAGATAATTTTTAATTAATCTTTCTTGCATCAATGAATATTTACTTTTTCGTTGAAATGTTAATGCTGCACAAGAGCTATATTGAAATGGGATTTAACTTTCATGAGGATCCAAAAATATTGATGAATGTGCACACTACATTACCGGAATTTAGATCAGGAAGCCTGTGCCCTAACCCTGTGTGGACTTATGTATGAGAAATTGCATTAGAATCTACTACAAACCAAAACACATACCTTGCCAAACAGTATAAGTACCATTTTTGTTAGAAAATATTACCATAGACTTCAAGTTATTAACCAGTAAATTAGCCAAATATCAAAAGTATTAGCCGAATTTCAAAATTCTTAGCCAAAGGAAAATCTTAAAAAATTTTTATGATAAATTTTTTTCTCATAGAAAATTTCAAATCAAAAGACAAATTTAATGTGAATTGAATTATTTTATAAAATGCAAATTCATATCAAGAGCCATTTTGCTGCTGAGGAGTAGTAAATGAGCAATGAATGAGAGAGAAGATGAAAAATGTAGATGTTGTTTTATCATCTTTGAGGAAAAGAAATAAGATTAAGTTGGGGTTCATTTTTAATAGCTTCTTATCAGAAATTTAAGGACAAACCTGGAGCAACATTATGTTATTGTCACAAGAAAATATATTTGCTGCAAAAATACTTGGATAATAATATGAAAGTTGGCACTGTATGTTAAGTATGTAAATAAGGAGTGATTAAAAAGAATTCAGCAAAATTTTTTGTTAGGAGCCATGGTGGCTCATGATAGAGGGCTCGCTTCCCAATGAGGTAACCCGGGTTAGAGTTCTAGCCATAGCTGGTCGATAGAAATTCCCCACCGGCTCGCTCTGAGGACAGTGCTGATGTAAAATATTCTTAGTGGTAGACGGATCATGGGTTAGAGTCTCTTTGCCATTAGGAGTGATTAAAAAGAGGGATGTTTTCCTCTATGTAACATAAATGCGTTAGTTCCATCAAAAAGTCCTCCATGAAAGCAATTTTCTCCCAATACTTAATCAAAAAGTTCTCGTCTTCTGGATTGATTTCAAAATTGCGAGGATACCGAATTGAATATCGAAAGTCGTAAACTCAAAACTTGGTCGATTGTTTAGCAACGGTTATATAAAAAAAAAGCACTTGGAAGACTCGTTTTTAATTAATATGAACTTACATTAGGAGTTATTAGTTGTGCATCTAATTAATTCTTAAAATCGGAATATTCGAAAAAATTTTGAATTTCTCATAAATTGTATATATTTAACACATTCAGTTTTCATAAATCAGGGGTCTGTCCAGACATTTTGTGAAAGGTCCGTTTTTCGTGAAATTGTGAAAAAATTATTCACATTCTTTCAACCAGAGTCCGCTTTTATGAATTTGTGCAAATAGGGTCCCGTTATTGCAAAACACTTTTTCAAGGAGTTTTTAAATTGCAAATAGATACAAGATTATGCTTAAAACTGTAAAACTATAATTATAAAAATTAAATTAAAAAAAATAAACAGCAATTGCAGCTACTAAATTAGCGATGCAACATATAAATATTTGGTATTTAGCCTATACTGCTGAATGCAGAATATTAATTTCGGACGAATAATGGAAGAAGCGTCTGCCGAAGATAAAATTTAGTTCGTTTACATCTGTCTTTCTTTCCCTACCCCCTTCCTGGGAAGGGTTTATTCGATTAACAAAACAATAATGAAGTTAAAAAATTTGTGAAGGGTCCGATTTAGAGATAAATTATTTTGTGAAGGGTCCGTTTTAAAGTTAAAATATTTTGTGAAGGGTCCGTTTTTATGAAAAGATATTTTGTGAAGGGTCCGTTAACGGACCCAAATTTCTTCTGAACAGACCCCTGTAAATGTATAACAAATATTTTCTTACTATGGTTTTCATCTTCGATATAACCATGGTAATTATCTTTGAGGTTATTACATGCCTTTTTGCAACAATTTAATGCCATATTAAGTAATAAAGATCATAATTATGACAAATTTTGATTTATACGGTGGTCAGAATATTTTGCCAGAATTTTCCTTTATAACTACTTGTGATGTTTATTTTTGTTAAGTAAAAAAAAATTGTGCTAATAATGAAATATTTATTTACCTTTGCTCCAATAATTCAAAGACGCTCCAAATCTTATAGATCTTTCTTGTTCTATAAATGGAAATGTGAAAGTAAAATTAAATTAATTTATACTCATTACATGCAATTTACTTTTTATAAATTCATTATTATTTTAATTTATCAGTACTAAAACTTATTTTGATATTATAAAATTAACATCTCAGAAAAATTTAAAACTTTTTATAATTCATCCAATAAGACATTGAGGAGTCACATTAAAAAAAAAATATCCATAATCTGCAATACTAAAACCGGGTAGCCAACAATGCCTGCCTTCTGATTTTCCAAAATTAATTTTATCAAATTTCTCTGTTTTTTGTTAACCAGTGGCCAACATTTTACTAATTTTTAAAATATGTTTTATTCTTTTAAAAATATGTTATCATGTTACGTTATAGTTATGTACACTTAATATTAGAGTTGAAAATAAACATTTTTCAAAAAATTTGAGACACTTTTTATACGATTAATTTTTTTCTTGAAAAAAAAAGGTATAATTTTAAGCTTAAATTAATTCATTTTCTGAAATTTTTGATAATTAATTTTCTGATATTTCCCTGATTAATAAAATTCTTTGAATTTTCCCTGTTGTGTGTGGCCACCCTATACAAAATAATGTTCATATATACTCCAAATTTATTATTCAGATTAAATAATTTATTTAATTATGATAGTATATAGTAATTTATTTAGTAATCATATATACAATCAATTTTAAAATGGTAATATTTACGACTAATAGGGGATCGAGATGTGTTTTTTCCATCCAATGGTTTACCTCATCTTAATGCAAAAGACGTTCAACTTGACTTGCCCGTCGATAATGAAGATTATTTAGTTCCTTCCCCGTGTTCATGTAACTCTGCTGGTTACATGGATCTTGTTGGAGATGCCAAAATAAGTTCCCCAGGTAAGTTAATAATAATTAAAAAAACTTTTTTTCATACTGTTATTTCTGTGTCAATGTTTAGTTTAGCCATCTTAGAAAACTATTTTTACTATAAATTTTCTAAGAACTTCTAGAAAATATTTATTGAAGTAAATGCAGATGCAACTAAATATGTTTGTGAGTTTTTTAAGCACGCAATTTGACTGAGATTTACATATTTATAGAAATTGTGCTATATACATTTAAAGTATTGTACTAGATATTGTGTCTTTCCACCATGTGATTAGCTCATGGCCGCCGAATTGGTGACAGTTGCTTTGGAAATAAATTAATTCAACAGTATTGCAGATAAACTGTTACAAAAATAAAATGAGAACCCCTCATTGTGGTAAGACATTGTTAAAGTATTGCTCTTTTAATCTTTTCAAGACATAAATCTTTTTAGAAATAATAATTAAAGCTATCTGAAGGTTTGTTCTAACTTTTTTAATCAACTGTATGAACTAATTTTTCATTATGCTTCAATAAATTTGTTTTTACGTTTTTCCTCTTGCAATTTCGCTGTCTTTCTTAAACTGTAAGAATACTTTTAGCAATTTATAATTAAGTTTTTGATGTGTGGTTAAAACTACAATTTGTATCTTGGGCATCATACTAACACTAACAAAAATTTTCTTACATTTCTTTCTCCAAGAAGTGTTTCAGAAAATAATTGAGAAACTGAATACTTACTACTGTCCAGAGCTAGATGTATCTAAAAAATGTTAGCCTAAAATTTGTCAACTGGCATTATACTTAACATAAGCTTCTCAAGTTGATCCAGAACTAGGCTAACTTGTATATTGATGACGGAAATGTATTCTAAAATATTCAAGAAATAAGTAATCTTTCTTTAAATTAGATTTAATCAGATTCTGGAATTCAAAGGTAGTCCCAGAGAGATTTCGAGAACTTAAGGAAAAAGCAAAGCAAGTGCTCTCTAAGTCCTAATTCAATAGATTGCGACTGATCTTTCTCTTGCGGCAGCCATATATTTATGAAACAAAGTTTCAAGGAATGCCAATCGTCTGGTCTAAGTTTGTTTCCCTTCACTTTAATTATCACTGGGATGCATTGTATATTAGGGTGTCCTTTATTTTGAACAATAAAAAAAAATTGTTTAATGAAAATTTTCGTTCCCTTTTCTTAAAATTGTTCCTTTTGAGCAATTAACTTATGTGTAAAGTTCAAGTTCTATAGGGCAAAATGAATTGACTTGAGCTAAAATCTAGATAATATAATGGATTTAGAACAAACTAAGTACTAAGCATTATTGTTTAAACCTTAAGTTTAATAATTATTATCTTGTATATTTATTAGTACTTTCATATGCTACACTTGTATATTTATTAGTACTTTCATATGCTACACTCAGTAGCAGAACTTAAAATTGGTGTGGTTATTTTCTTTTGAATAATATTTTTCTGCATCTAGATACGACTCTCTATGAACTTGCGCTCCATGAAGCTCACACAGCTATTAATCTATTAAAGTCCTGCATTAATTTAAAACTTCAATGAATGCATTTAACATAAAAGCTCTTCTTTTGATATCGAAATATGACATTATTTTGCAAAAAACATGAGTTTGAAGGCAAATGAAGAAGTTTTATGTTTTTAGTTACTTTTATGTTACTTTAAATACAGTAATCCTACACTATTTAATAATAAAAATAATAGTTAAACTTACAGAATAAGTCGTCTCTTATCCCTGTTCTATATATTGCCACTCATGGTCTAGATTTTTATGATTTCTCTTCTATATTGACACCCCTGTCAAAACAATTTTCATAGATTTTGGAAATAAACCAACTTTCTTCTAAATAATGTGCTGTCAAAATTTCTTCAATTCTGCTCTCTGAATTATTTTTTATAATTTCTTCTTCTATTCTGAAATTATTTACTAGTTCTTTATGATTGTGGAGTGAGTAGTTATTGACAATGCCAACCTTCATTTATCTAAAGGTACTTCAAGATGGAGTCGATTAATTTGTCTTGTATTACTAGTGAATTTATGTTTAATAATTGTAGTGGTAGTTACACCACCATGATTTCAAAAACAGAAGACGTTGTTTAGGTGATTTTACAATTGCATTGCATTTAAGCCACATTATGACATACACTACTGTTGCAATAAACAACGAAATGATTTATCATGTTCTGCTAGCAGAGTAAGTTAGGTTACGATCTCAACAAAACCATTTTCATGGAATAAAAAGCTTATGCAATGAGATTAATGCATCATGGATTTTACACTTCCTTTCAGCTAAAACTGTCATGGCTGCAAAAGAGCAATGATTTAGACACATAACTTTAATTAGGTTAAAAATAATTGCAAACCAATAGACAGATAGGGCGAAAAGCTAAAAAATGGCCTTCTTTTTACATACTTTCACTTGAATTTGGCATGGGTTAAAACAAATTTATCAATTCAAAAATTTATATGGTACGGACAGTTAAAAATTTAAAAGTTGTACCTAATAAAGTAAGCTAGTTAAAATAAAAAATGTTTTTTTTTCTTCTCAAATTTGGTTTTTTCCTGTTTTAGTTGTTTCCCAGGTCATACACAGCCTGTTTGTACAATTTTCACATAATAAGTAGTAAATTCGTACAATTTTTTCATGTTGCATAATCTTAAAAATACTTGTACACAATTTATTGGGCAATATTTTGCATAATTAATGACATTTCCAATTTGTTTTACAGCGCCACCGTACGCTGGAAATTTTGCACCACCTAGAAACATACCCCATCAAGCAGTCGACAACCTCGAGTATCACCTAATGAATAAACATAACTCCATTTCCTCATCTACAGAGACTGCTATTGCAAATCAAAGAAAACCAACTAGTAGTGATGATGATACAGATGAGCATGAATATTACAATGACTTTGACGGGCTGCAAAGAGAATTGCAACCCCTGAACAATCATAGGAGTGAAAGAAATGAAACAACAGTGTGAAAATTGCAAAAAACTGAGGCGAGCACACTCATTAATCATTCCCATTTCAGCTGTATAATTCCAGTGCATTCAAAATATCAATCTGTACAAAGAATTAATTAGAAGATATCACTGAATATAATTTTAAGGCAGGCTACTTAAAATTAAGAGGACTTGTGTACAAAAAGTTGTACATTCTTTGAAACCCATTATGATGAAAACCGGTATTAACATCTAGCATTATTTAAAGTTTTATTTTTTCATATTGTCATTGAATAAAAATTGCCTTTTTTTCATATCATACTTTAAAAGTTTCAGCTTTAATGTTGAAACAAATCCTACATATATACTATCTGTGATATGTTCCTTCTACATCTCTCCATGTTAAATAATGTCATTATACTTCAAATGTGCATTGTGAAGAGTAACTTTGTTAGAATTTTATATTGTACATAAGTCTTTTGGTGTATAAATATCGTTGTTTGATTTTATGATATTCCTAATATCTTTTAACTATCTTGCTTTGTAAATACATATTAACATTTGTATTTTTTTTGGATGAGTAACATTAATACTTAGAACAAAGTTTTTATTTGCTATTTTTACAATTTCATTAGAGTCTAATAGGAAAATATGTCCGTAAAATTTTTATTTATGGGATCAATTTTTTAAATGAATAAATAGTTTAATGTTTTTGAAATGTGAACCATAAATAAAAATCTTTAGCTTATCAATTGTATTGTAACATTTAACCATTTAGTGCAATATTGAAATCATTCCATTTTCTGTTTAATAATGTTTCATTTATCTTACTACTATATCAGGAATTAATCTTGATAATAGCTGGAATATACAAGTGGAAGATTACTTACAATTATTTAAAAATAATAAAGAAATCTACAAAATCAAATATATCCTTAAATAATATTTAAGCAAATTACACATTTAAAACAAAATAGAATATCCTATAGATTTTTGTTATTCTTTTTTAATAATTTAAATTTTATCCAAAAGTTAAAGAGAAATTCCTTTTTCTAAACTCGCCATTTAACAAAAATTGTCAAAATTAGGTAATTTTATTTAAAAAAAAAAAAACTTATAATATTTTTTTCAGCTTATTAAAAGCACTGTATAAATTACTGTTTTCAAACTCATTAAACACTGTTTAAACCAATATGTTTTGTAAAGTATTTTATTTGCAAAGTTTTCTATTAAAATTTTTTTTTATTTATTAACGAAATAAACACTAATTATGAATAAATTTTTAAATTTAATTAATCTTTTTAAAATACAAAATGCAGTTTTATTAGCATATTTTAAACTGTTAATAACATGTAACTAAATGAGATAAGTTGAATCTTTTATTTTATGAAGGATAACTTTTTTAAATTGTCCTGATTGTTATTACAAATTTTAGGATGCGTATGTACAATCAAGCATATATGCAAATATATCAATATTTTAAAATATTGTGTTTTATTACAAAAAGTTGTTTTAATATTTGTGCATCTCTCTTTGTATGTTTGATTTGAAAGACTGCTGATAACGAATATATTTTACTAGAAAATCACTGCCATTTTTTACTTGAAGAAAGTGATTTTAATCATTAACAGCAGCTTGAAGTTGATGTGCCAATCAATGTACATTTTTTATAAAGAAACTTTTAATGCGATTGCTTAAAAATTGATTAATTAATTTCATTAGAGTATATTGTCAAACATTTGAAGCAATATTGCTACCTAGAAAAGTTCTTTATGTTTAAATTTGAATTATTTTTTTCTTGCATTCTATTAAAAATAACATGTTATATTACTAATTAAAGCATCTTTGATTTCTATTTTCTTATGTTACATTTACTTTTTTGTAAATAATCATGCCAGTTTGAATGTAAATACTTGTGTTTTTGAACTGAAATAAAAAATATTTTACCACAAATTTTTAACTTCTATTGTAATTTTTTCATCATAAATTTTGGTTTATCACGTGTGATTCAAAGCATAAAACTATGTTAATTGCTGCATTACTGCTTTGATTTATATTACTAATTTTACAGATCAAATTTTAAAATAGCTTACTTTGGTTGGGCAAAATTGCTTTCTATAAATGAATAATAAAATGATGCTTGAAGATTTTTCTTCTTTAAATGAGAATCGATGTAATAAATGGGAAACTTGTGTCAATAAAAATCGTTAATATTTTTTTTCTGAAACATTAAATTTATTATACAAAAATAATAAAAAATTTTTTTAAGCAAGTAGAATATTTACAAATTTATTTTTACCGTTGACTATTTAAAATAAGCATGAATTTAATATTTTTATCTTAATCCCATTAATCTATTATATAATGATAGGCAAAGTTTGATAATAAAAGCTTATAACTCCAGAAATTCTTATTCTAATCTTGAGAAAAAATGTACAATTTTTGGCAACTGAAAAAGTAATGAAAAAAATTTATTTTCTATACCATATTTATTAATCTGATCTCGATTAACTCGAAATCTCGACTAACATAGTCAATCGCTATCAATAAACAATTAGCAACATTTTGCTGAATAATGAGTTTTTGTAGTTTGATGAGTTGAACTTTGAAAAGTGTGTTTTATTTAATATAATAGCATCAGTCAAAAATAGGAGGAACAAATAATAATAAACATAAATTAGTATTAATTTACTTGTGTAGATGTATGGCTAACAGTTTTATGCATCATTACGTAGTGTTGTACCGTTGACTTGAAATATTGACTTTTTTTAATGAATTTATTATTGACTGACAGATTTGTTTTTGTAGTTCATTTACGTTGCACTGGAGCTACACAATGGGCTATAGGCGACGGTCTGGGAAACATCCCTAAGGATGGTCCAAAGACATGCCATCACAATTTTGATCCTCTACAGAGGGGATGGCACCCCCGTTTAAGTAGCCCGACGACCTGCACGCGAAGTAGAGCACTTTACAGTAGAACAGTTTAACGACGATCAATACAGCACACCCTCGGTCACTACGCAGACTAATCCCAGTGGTCAGCCACCCGCACACTGATCGCAGCCAGTGATGCTTGACTTCGGTGATCTGTTGGGAACTGTGTCTTCACGAATCAGTCCACTGCGGGACGACTAACATATTTATTAATTATTGGCTCAACCCTACAAAGAACTGGTATTCAGCTAGCAAGTAAATATAAACAGAAGCAAATTGAATCAACATATTAAAATATTGGCTTTTACTTCAATTAAGAAAAAGAGGAGACAAAAATTACACAAAATGAAAACACTGTTTTACAAAATTCACGCAATTCAGTGTTTGACAATAACACAAATTTCAGGTAAAAATGCTTCAAATTTTTGTAACTTTTCTAATAACCAAATAATTTTTCAAGCATTTGCAAGTGCTTGATAAATTTTTTTAAAATTGAAATCGTGATAATTTATAATGGTTTGCCATATTTCAATTTAAATTAAAAAAAAGTAACAAAAATCAGGGGATGATTTTATTAATATTTTTACATAATTTTAATTATAAAATATGAAAAGAGGTGAAAAATGCTAAAGATAGTAAGCACGATTTCAGTACAACGAAAGGGAAAACTTATTCTACAGTGAACAATTTTTTTACATTTTAAATAGGAACTAAAGATTATCCAACAAAGAGCAATGTCAGTGCCTTTAATAACCAAATTTAATCAATAATATCCAATCTGGCAGCAATTTTTTTCTACTTAACTGGACCAATGAAATCCAATTACATTTAAGAATATATTTAAAATGTTTTTCTCTAGGTATTTAAAGTAAATGAATTTTTAAAAAGCTTTAAATTCAATAAGAATGGAAATATATGATTTTTTTTTAAAAATTACAATCAAATACTTTTAAAACTAAAAATTTGAAGGAGGAAAAAAATGGTAAATATTTACAATTGACATCGTCATTATGAATATTTTTTTAAGTTCATATTGAATAAAAAAAGTATACCAAGATGACAATGTTAAGTAAAATTTTTTTTTCTAAGGTTGAGTTCATTAGAAAACATTCTAAATAACAAAATAAAATAAAAATTTTGAGAAGAGGAATTTTTTAATCTTTTGAGGTGACAACTTTATTTTAAATGTTTTCTAATGAACAAACATGGTAAAAAAAGCGAAATTTCCCAAATTGAGTTCACCAAGAAGCATTCATAATAAATAATAAAAAAAGTAATAATAAAAAAAGTATAAATAATAAATAATTCATAATAAAAATTAAAAAATATGTAACAATGTCAATAAAGAAGTAAAAACAATGGTTAAAATCAAGCGACTTTATTTTGAATATTTCATAATTAACAGAGTTGCAAAGTAAAACAGTTAAGTTAAATAAGTAAATTTTGATAAGTTTTGTTCATCTGGTAAAGTTCTAATTTATAATTAAAAGTAAACATTTTCAAACTAGTAAATATCAATTTAAATGTTTTTTAATGCACTAATTTCATTAAAAAGTTAAGAGAATATTTTTGTTTGTTTGCCCACAGTTTGAAAACAGGTGAAATTGTTTTTAAAATTAAACAGATGGTAAAGTTAGTGGATTATATAAGTAGTTAAAATTCGTTTATAAATCCTTTAACACATGGATTTGGCTTAAGTGTTATCAATACTTATAAGTGGAATGGTATCAATATATAATAACCAGTTGTTTAATTTAATACATAATAATGAACTCTTCTAACAACTTAAATAGACCTAATAAATTCACAGAATAGTCGATTTCACAGAATAATTTCAATTACCTTATTACATATCCAATTTCAATGAGGCTTTTTTTTTCTATTATGGTGCTGAAATACAATATTTGATAAAACAGTGAAGCTTTAAATTTATTCACCATAAACTGCTTAAATTATATTTCTTTTAAGTGTGTAGAAGAAAAATATTTTAGCTTTAAGTGTAAACTGGGAAAAATCTCTCTGATTTTTTAACTAAGTAAACTTTACATAGTTAAAATGGATACTGAAAACTATTCATTTGAGCAAGAAACAGATGACTTATATGACTAGATACATTTTAAAACTTGTGAATGCAAAAACTTAATTTTTATAAGTGTAAATATAATAAATAGTTACATTCTTTTTAAAAATATGACTAGACTAATACATTAATTCTCAGTATAACGAATTGGTGACCATTTATACAAATAAAATACATTATTAAACACAATATTTTCCTATTCTTAATAACTACATATAAATTATTAACTGTTTGGCATTTTGGCACAAAATAAAAGAGCTATTTATCATTCCTAAAGTTAGTAAATTATGTTAAATTCATTAAATTACTGTAGGCCCGGTAGCTGAGTGGTAGTACTTTGTGCTCCATGCCGCAGGTCTGGGGTTCAATCCTTGGACCGGGTAAAGGTGACTCAATCTTTCCCCATTTTGGTGGGTTGATACAATGAGAACCAATCATGCTTGGACTAAACACTGGGGTTTCAGGTTTGGCTGACCACCCAACTGGAACTTCTGCAGCCTAGAGCTCAAGGGCAAGAAAATTGGGATGAGCACATTAGGCCTTGGTGCTCCATGGGCTGTCACAACACTGAGTTTAGTTTTGTACTATAGAAAATGTTTTGTACCATTGCTCAAAAATTTACATGCCTGGTCATGTAAAAATATGGATTAGGCATGGACTTTTTATCTTTACATGCCCAGTTGAACTTTTAAATATTTAGAGATACTAGAAAATATTAATTTAGCACCCCTAAATTTTTGAACCAAACTACCACGATTCAAGATGGAGCGAATAAATAATACTGTAGAGGGATAGAAAAAAAAAGGAAAATTAAATTATATTTTATGAGATTTAAACATCATTGAATTTAATTATATAAACAAGAATTTATTAAAAAAATAGCTTATAATTTTTTATTTCTCATGTCATCATTATTTTTATAAAAAAAGTTTATCCTGATCACTCTGCATGAAATAATAAAAAACGATAAAATTTTTTTTCTTCTCATTTTACTTCTTTTTATGTCCAAATTTCAAAAGAAAAAAATAAAATAAAATAAAAACGCTTTAAAATAAATGCCTTTTTTTTCGTTGATATTTTATAATTTTGATTCAACAATTATACTATGATGTTTTATAACTTTGATGTAGTAACATTCTAATTTCAGTAATTTATAGTTGTATCAGTTAAAATAACTAGGTCTTATTTTAATAAAAATTTTTTTACACTGTAAGATTTGTTTTGATTAGAAAACAAATTTCTTGTCATTTAACTTCTTTTTATGTCTAAATTTTAAATGAAGAAAAATAAATAAAATAAAAACGCCTTAAAATAAATGACTTTTTTTCGTTGATATTTTATAATTTTGATTCAAAAATTATGCTATGATAGTTTGTAACTTTGATATAACATTCTAATTTCAATAATTTATAGTTGTATCAGTTAAAATAACTAGGTCTTATTTTTACAAAAGTAATAATGATAATCTAGATGAGCATGTTTTTTAAACCTCCTTTGACACAGCGAACAAACCAGTGGTTTCTCATTATCTTCAGCATGAGTAGTCATATGGACATCATAGGCAACTTTAAACTGAGTTGAGAAAGGACAGATTGCACAGAAATATTCTTTATACTCAACACTATTTTGAGCATTTGCAGATTGAATATTTGGTGAAGTTTGCCAACCTGAAATAAACAAATTTTGTTTAAAGCTAATGTCTATAAACATTTTCATTTTTAAAATTCAAAGTTTAGAGGTATCAAGGAAATCTAAATAAGATCCAAATTAGACTTAGAAAAGTGAACACAAAACAATATTCTTTAAAAAAAATTTTTTGTGTTTCTTTAGAGAATTTTCAATTTTAATAACTGAATTGTTTAATAATAACAATATAAAAAATATAACTTAGACATTGTATCCAATTGCTAACGAAAAAAAATCCCTACTTTTTTGCATTATATAGTTGAAATTTTAAGCATGTTTTTTCATCTTCGTTTTTTTTTTTGTAATACAGGACAAACAAAGAAACTTTCAAAGAATACCATTTGTGTTTAAAAATAAGGACAAAAATTAAAAAAAAAAACACTTTCAATTTTAATGATTAAATTATTTAATAGTATTAGCTTAAAGAATGTCATTAACTAAACCAAATAAACAATACAACAATGCTTTTCTATAAATCTGGCCTGATTCTAATTTGCTGTTTCAGTTAGATTCAATGATAAAAGTTTTCTGTAATATACGACGAACACATTAGATAATACTTAACCATCAGTATCTGAAGAATCATTATCAAGATAAATCAAAGAGAGGGTGGAGCTAAATAACATTAAAACTAGTTCATACAAGGATTAAACTGATTAACAGTGAAAGAAGGAAAAAAATAAATTTGTCAGTAAATAAACAGGTTTTGATGGTCCTTACACAGGAAACATTGACTTTATTAACCCTTTGAGTGAGTTTGATAATGATTTGTCAGATTTAAATTAAACTTTCTTTTTCTTACTCCATACTATATTTCAATTTCCTTATATAAGTACTATTTGTACTTAATTTTTGAGAAGGATTCCAAAAATATATATTAAAAGAGGTGATTACAGCACTCACTATGTAGTGCATATTAAATCACAAAATTTTAACCTTAAAATTTCTTAGCATGGAACTTGATATACATGTAAATAAAAGGAAGAAATACATCCATTTCATACATAAAAAAATTAAAATGTTTTTTTTTTTGCGTATGTAATCCAGTATTATGTAAATATATTTAAATTAATAAAGCATATAGTTTAAAGTAATATTAATAAGATAATATTAATAAGATTAAAGAATTAAAAATCAAATAGCTTATTAGACAAAAAAGGTTTTATTTAAAAAGTTATAAAAAAGATGTACTGTATATTTCCATGTATAAATCAAGAATTTTTCAAAAGTTACACTAAAGGAGTTTTATATACAGATCTGTGGGGAAAATTAAAAATGCATCACAAAGCTACTTATTCTGTTACTATTTATGAGGAAAAAAATTGTATTTCAGAAATAATAATAATAGCATCTTATAAATATATTTTGCAGCTGTTAGCATTTCCTAAGCTGCTAAGGAAATTAGTTGCAAATTAGAAGTTGCAGACATGCAGGGACAAAAAGCATACTGTAATTGATGAATACTTTGATGATTTTTAAAATATAATTTTATTAATTAAAACATAGCAACAATATTGATTTTCTATTAGATTAAATGTACCAAAATTTGATTTTATCTGGATGTATTTGAAATCTCATTTTTTTCAGCTACTGCTCTTAGTGAATTTTGACTATCAGGGTAAATCTTTAAATGAAATAAAATAAAAAAATAAATAAGCTCTCAGTTTATACTTGGAAATATATGGTACCTTTAGCACTAGACTTCAGACAACTATTATGTACAATATCTATAAGAAATGATTAATTATTATGCAAAAACATAATTTAAAAATATGATTTTTATTAATATTAGGTATATTTCTAGAAAATTAAACATCTGAAAATATTGAAATACTACAATATTTTAGTTAAAAATACAAATGCCACAGTGGTAACAGATATTTTTATCAAAAACAAAAAGAAATGCATTGAAGAATATGAATTTCTAACTGCTTTTTATTTCTATCAAATACAAAGATAGTAATTATAATTAAAATAGGAAGTACAATGCAATTTCTCCCAGTGAAAGAATTACAATTTTATTGCAATTTCATATAATTTTTTGCAACTTCTTTTCCACTGTAGTGGTTTTTAACAAACTTTTGTTTAAAAAAAAAATTTGTTTTGCTTTGATATAATAATTTTAATTCTTATAGTACAGCTTGTATTTTTGATTTTAAAAGTTACAGTTGTCAATTTTCACATGAAGCTGCCAAATCTTAAGATTAAAATTTTTTCATCACATTATTTCAACTTCTTATAGACAAATTGAATTACTAAACAAATTTTCATAAATATTTAAGTTTCGTATTTCCATTTAAGAAATGCATATCATTTTTTGGTAATAATTTATAATTGATTAATTAATATAGATAGAAGAAAAGCTTAAAATGAATTAATTAAATGATTAATTAAACATGACAGTGACATAAAAAGCGTAAAATGAACTTTTCTTATCTTAAAACTTTAATAAGTCAAATATAAAATATAGAAAGTCATTAGCACATACAGTGGCAAATATCAATAAAATGAAAATTTTATTAGTATAACTATACTTAACATTTTCTTAATATTATTAAAAAATAGTACATATTTTGAGCTATATTAAGTTATAGTTATGTTTCAATAATTTTTATTTAGCTTTGCTTTATTTGTATTAAAATTTTATTCAGTATAATTTTAATTGTATAATGAAATTTATATTCTAATAAAACTTATTTACTAACATAAAATATGATTTTTTTTTCAATTTTCAGTTCATTGAGTCCGATTATTATTGTAATCACTCAGTTAGAACATAGAACTTCATCAGCTTTAAAATTGATCAGTAATAAAAACAGATAGCTAAAATATTGATGGGTTGACATGACATGCTTTAGCACTTATCAAAATTATTGCTCGTTTTGGTAAAATGAGCCTTATGTTTATTAAACACATTTAAAAAATACTCACAACTCCTTTAGATAAAACAAAACAATGAAAACTACATTTTCTTTAGAAAAATTTATAAAATAGATAAATACATAAAATCAGTATACCAATTTAAATAAAATTTAACAAAACAAGTTTATAGTTGAATGTTAACAAACAATTAAACAAATATCAATACAGATAAGTATATTTAAAAAATGAAATGCATACTTTTACAATTAAACTTCAATGAAAAATGAATAGTAAAAGTAATATTTATTTAATTATATACAAGGAAATATATTAAAAAAAAGTAATGAAATTCTGGTAAAAACTTCCGTTGAATAACAAAAAATTTAATGGTTTCAAATATAAAATAGCAGATGGAAAATTGAGTTAGATAAACAATTCTAAAACAAATTCTTATCTAAAGATTTAATAAGTAAATTCTAATACATATAAATAAGAACAGACATATACAAACCAAATGAACCACTTTTAAATCTCAAATGAAAGATTACTAAACAAGACTATATGCATTTAACTATGAACTAAGTAATGTCTTTTTAAACAGTGTTTTTGAGTAAATCTTTTTTTACAAATCTTACATTCAAACGGGCGTTCACCAGTATGTATCCTGAAATGAACTTGAAGATTTTGTTTACTCACAAAACCCTTTTTACATACATGACAAAAATAATTATTCATTTTAGAAATCTCATGTTTTTCAATACCAAGTTCTCCCGTGGTGGAATAAAAAGAATGTAGATTGATATTTTTATCTTTAGTAGAATTTACATATAGTGAATCTGAAAGAAAAGTAAAAAATGTGTAATTAATATGATTAGTAAATCTTAGAGGCAAAATTACTTTCAACTTTTTGACACCATAAAAATGAGATCATTAATAATCATATAATAAAGTATATAAAAGTTATGAAGTGAAATCAAAGAAAATTTAAAGGGCATTTAATCACTAAAAAATGCCCATAAGCAAAAAATATAATTATTGGTAACACAAAATATTATTGAAAATAGTACAGAGACAATGATGAGAAGAAAAAAAATTCAAACATCAGAAACCACCCTACCGAACAGTATTAAATTATTTGATCAAATAAAAAAAAGTGTGTTTTTAAACAAATTGCAACAAGCACTAAAATAATTTTAAATGATTAGTATTTTAATTATGATAATAACTGCTAATGTTGAGCTATGATTACAAGTAAATTATCACTACGATCGCATTTAAAAAAAATTCACAACAAAAAGGTACATTTAAAAATGAATGGGATACTTTTAGGATAAATTTCTATTGAAAAATGAGAAACATAAGTATACAATAAGGATACATTTAAGTATACATAAGTAAGTTCTACTTTTAATTTTAATAAGAAACTGGCAAGTATAGAAAAAAAATCTCTCTACTTTTTTTTTTTTTTTGAATGAGAAATAACAATGGTTTAAATTGAACTAAAAATGGGATTTGTGAGAATAAGTTTGACAAACAATTTTAAAATAAAATTTTACTGAAATTACAATAAAGAAGTTCTCTAGTGTGAATCCTGAAATGAACTTGAAGATTTCATCTAGTATTAAATCTTTTCCAACGCATGTAAAGAAAAAATTAGCTTCTTTATAAATATCAAGTGTACATGCCTTTGAACAAAAACAGAAGATCACAAATTCTACAAAAAAAAGTGAGATAAACATTAAATCTGAAAAATGAAAAAAAAAAAAAAAATGTTGTAATATAATAAGTAAATCTTTGGGTAAAGGAATGTTTCCTTTTTAAAATTTTTTTGGCACATAATATGTTAACAATAAAATTACAAAGGGACATATTAAAACTTTAACAAGTCATAAATGCAATATTTTCTATTCAATAATGAATTAGTTAAGTAGTGAAATACATTTAATTATTCAAATTAAAAATCAGAAGACTCTTATTACTCATTTTATCAGACATGTGACTCAATTAGAATAAAGAATACTTCAATGGAATGCTGATGGAAAATTATCAAGTTAAGAGACCTTGAGTAGAAACACAAGGTTTTAAATTTGTATGGAAAATTTTTTCTGAGAAACATTAAGCTTTTCTACACCAAATTACTGAACTTTTTAAAAATATTGAAAATCACAAACCTTTTTTTAGAAATTGTAGAAAAAAACAGAATAATAAATTTGGAAATATCAACTGAAATTGTAGTTTTAGGTAAGAATAATAGAATGAATCAAGATGAAAAAGATTTATTTATTCATGCTTTTAAAAATTTAACATTTTTAAGTAGTACTCTTAATTTATGAAAATAAAAAATTTTATAAAAATTTCAAATAATTAGAGAAAAGCAACATGTATAAATTAATGATGATAATAGCATTGAAAAAGGAAGAATGGTAAATATTAACTTTAAAAATGAATACTCTACAGCTAAATAAGAACCATTAAAATTTTTGAAAATTTTACATAATTTCTGCACTGTTGTTTCGAAGTGTGGGAAGCTAGACTAAGGCTTAGATTTCAAATATCTGCCATTTGTACAAATAAATAGTTTGAACTTAAGAGCTGCATACCTGAAAAACAAAATAAATACAGTTATAGTATCACAAGATTATTTTCATTAAAAATTAAGATATGCATAAAAATATAAATGCATAAGATTAGTAACATTTCCAACACCAATTGATTTAGATACAAATGAATTTGAACAAAAGATAGATAAAAACAAACAGACATGATAGTTCATGGTACTCTAACTAGAAAATTGATTTACAAATTAAAAGTTAAAAAGAGAAAAAAATCATATAAGAGAAAACTCATTTCTTTTTTAAACTAAAACTTAGTCATAATACATGAATTATCTATTATCACATCCTGTTAACGGCATAGGCTTACAAAAAATGAAAAAGGATTATGGTTATAAAAAACAAAGCCTTGAGATAGTACTCAAAAAAGAAACATTCTCGAACATATAAATATTGGTATCTATATAGCATTACTACAATCATCATAGAATTTTCGAACTTGCAAAAAATTTAACAAAGAATATGTTGTGGTTTGTCAGGGGGTGACAACCTTTTGAATTTGCCGATATCTATGCGTTTTTAAGTTTCTCATGGTCCATTAACCAGAACTCACCAAAGCTTGGCAATTACTCAGCAGAATTGATAAGGCAATCTTCCTAAAGTTGCCAATCAATTTAAATTAATGAAAAATAACTATCTAAGTGAAGTTACCCTATTTCTCAAGACTTTAAATACTTGGACAAATATAATGCAAAGATTTCCATCTGGCACCCATAATAAATAAATAGTTTTTTAGTGATTATGTTATTCAAGTTTGCTAAGGTATGTTTTATCTACAAGAGCATATTTATTAAAAAGTATCTTCAAATTAAAAAGCAAGTAAATTCACAGGGTTCCCACTCTATGATGAGATTGAAATTCAAGGACTTTCCAAGGACCTCAACAAAATTTTCAAGGACCTTAATCTAAGACCAATTTTAAAAATTATTCTCCTCTATTTTACTAGAAGCAACAATGCTTGTTGTGGCAATAATTAATTTCAAATATAATACCTAAATGCTTTGCCTATATAGAGAGAAGAGAGTATATGTATTATGGACTAAAATTTATATTTTTTTTAAAAACAACCCTACTGGTTTTACATATTAATTCACAAAATTATTTTCAGCACAATCTATAACTATAATGGTAATGAGGTGTTAATGGTGAAATCCTTTAATCCTGTGTATTTCCATGTGAAGGCTGCATGAAAGACAGAGCTAAATCTTAGGTATTCCATATTCCATGACTATTCCATAACCCCCTCCTCTCCTCTATTAAACATCGTTTCTGAAATTATTCATCCATAATTTACACAACCTTCTCTAAATGTTATGCAGCAACAATTCTTTCTGAAAATAAAAATTAGAAGGAACATATCCCATTTTCACCATGTTTAAAAGCATTATTCGTTATGTGTAATCCACAACTGCCAATGAATATGACCTGGTGGGAATATTTCTCTTTTAATTCACACTGAAGCTTCTAATAGAATTTCCAATTGACATAGGGTCCATCCATGGATAATTGAAGTATTTTAGAGAGCTTTTAACCATCATCCATGCATTTGTAAAAAGAGGACAAAATATTTTCTGCAGTTCCATGACCCATAAATTGGGAGGTAAGATACTTAGTGCAAACTTTATTATCAATTCCTTACCATAATGTCCATCTGCTTAGATTGTAGAGACTGATTTAACGTCTCATCAAAGAGTACAGTGTAGCAATCAACATTCTTCAGCTCATTTATAAGAATCCCTTTGAAGTATAGTGCCAATCCAAAGGAGCCCAAATAGGCTCACTTTGTGGCACTACAAAAAAATTGTCTCGCTATACAGCTATCAGCAAACATTTTGGAGAACAATTTACTAATCCCTTCACAGGAGTTACATGAATAATTACTAGTGATGCACTTCAGACTCCAGAGAATTTCAGCATCAAGCACATTCCTTTTGACCAGATAAGAAGACAATGTTACCTCGGCCACTAAAGTTTCTGTTTCACATGGGGCACACGATGTTGAAGGAGTATTTACACCAGATGAATTAGATGTTGATGTCTTTGGAAAAAGAGAACTCAGGGCATGAGACTGCTTTTTTGTTTTACCTTTCTTTCATGTGTGATTTCAGAGCAGATTCTTCCATTTTTGCGATATCGATCTCCTTCATGCATAATCGGCACTTGGCTCTGAACTTCTTTTCGGGCATCGATAAAATCCATTCTTTATAAGCTTGATTATCCATCCATTGGGGATTAAAATAGCACTTCCCAGGCATAACTAGTCTAAACTACATAACACAAATACGAAGCCGTGCCTTTGCGAATACGCTTTACAATAAAGTTTTGAAATGACGCAAACGTAAGGACAAGTGCGGATGGTAAAACGGCAAATTTATTGAAAACTACAAGGTACATATTGTTACGAAATTCGAGAGTATTCCAGTTTCGATAAGAAAAAAGAAGATCTAAGCATATGCGACAGAAGATGAAGTGGAGTCTCGCCCCGAACGCATTGATTGTCTGCTGTGCTCCGCGCGCTTGGCAGACACCAAGACGCTAGGCCCGGTTAGAAACGGTGGCGTTAAAAACCACGTGAGAGAGCTCGGGAACAAAACAGAAAGAACGAGAAAGATCCGCGGGTGTTTTATAAAAAGGGCCGCCGGCAGTATTGGACAAATTCAAGGACCTATCAAGTTTTTCAAGGACCTAAGACGTTTTTCAAGCACTTTCAAGGACCTAAATTTAGCAAAAAAAAATTCAAGGACTTTCAAGGACTCTCAAGGACCGTGGGAACCCTGATTCAGCTGTTCCATTTATTTATTAATATATTATTTTCAATTTTTTTGATCTATCTAAATAAAAAAAAAGTTTAATTTATTATTTTGTGACTTTAATGCTATGGCAAAATAAGTATCAAAATGAGATTAATTTCAATTACAAAAACCGGTCAGTGGCACTTCGAAGATTGCGCTTTGCCTGACCAGATACCAATAATCTTTGACTGCATAATCTTAATTATTTTTCAAATTTGGATTAAAGAGTATAATCTATTTCTTCGTTTTTTAAGGCAGTCTAAGACCTCTCCAACCCGCTACCGCCATGCCATCTGGTCCTATCCAAAGCAATGCTTTTAGAATTTTTTGTCATCTTCAGCTGAATTAAGCAGTGGAGTACCTTTATCTTGACGTTCTGATTTTCAAAATTTGAATCCTTTATTGCATAGCTAAACAGAATAAGCATGTAAAAAGATTAACATTTCATATGATTTTTGGGCTGATTGTTAAATATGATGTTGTTTAAATAAAAGGACAAAAATATATCAGAGTAACAGTTTAAATATTGGTTTATATTTCTTATAATATTAGCAACATTAAACAATTCATCAAAGAATCACATAGAATTCTTCGCTTGAGTTTTATCGTTCTCAATAAGATATACTATATATAAATCAAAGATATTCAATTAAATAAAGTAGAAAAACACATATTTGAAGCATTTCAAGCTTGGGATGTTGTTTTGTTTATTTTGCGGAGCTAAGCGGATAGACAATTGAAAAATAATGAGTTCTTACAGTTGCTAGTATGTTATATGTCAATTTTTTAAGAACAAGTAATATAAAAATATTCTACTTCGGTCGAAAAAGTGTAAACAGTTGAAACAAAGACAATTCCGAACAGAAAGCATATTTATGGTTTCACTTGATTTTTGCTTATAGCTTGCTAATACAAAAGTAAATTTGTTAGCTGCGTTTTTGTTGCTTTGAATACACACAATGGAAAAATAAGTCGTATTGTAAAAGAAAAAATTAATGAGTGAAAAATATTCGACCGAGAAAGACTCTCAAATCAGGTTTAATCTCGCTAATCGTATTTTAATAGAATCATTGGATTGAACCAATAAATAGAAAACAGAGCACAAAACTTTCCATTTGTCAAGGGCCACTGTCCCTGAATGCGGTTCATGAGTTTCCGATTGCCGCTGAGAAAAATAAAGCACCTGATTGGGTTTTCATTCGCTCTCGACGGCAATAAAAAGTGCGTAACCGTAATTAGTGAGAATCGTCCTTCAGTATTGCTTGTTTAGGGACTATCCATAAATATGCGATTGCGACGCTTGAATACGCATCTGGGGAGAAGAACGGTTCTACGTCTTGACCTTCTCCTGTTTTCCTCCCCCGCTGCTCAGTTGTATTGATTGTATTACGATATTTCCCCCTTCTATAATATTTTTCGCATTTAATTCTCAAAAACGCTTTCTAAAAATTTTTACGACGTTTTCTTTAAAAGCTATGTTGAATGTAGTTTTGAGCTTCGTATAGCTTCCTTCCGTTTTTAATCTATTTGAAAATCAAGGCAGAAACTTACGCACTTCCTTCTCCTATGACTATCCACGCGCTAATGATGAAAGCATGAGAATATATATATATATATATATATATAGCATAAATAAATAAATACAAAAAAAAAGAAAAAAAACGAGGAAAATTAAGAAAAACAATAAGTTTTTTTTCCTGCGCATAAGTTGCAAGTAAATAGAACTCGATAGAATAAAATAAGTTCAGTGTGCAGAGAAAATGTATTCCATGTTTTCTCTACATTTTGAACTTTTAGCGATTTTTGTTTCTATTAGTGATATAAATTTCTAATTAAAATGTTCTCTGATTTAAAATAGTCTGCCGAATCAGCTGAAATAAATTCCTAGCAGTTTTTTGCACATTTCAAATATTAAAAGCCAAATTAGTAGCTGTTTGTATCATATATTATAAAAGTGGTTAAAATATAAAATTCAAACTGCATTACCCAAAATTAACAGTTATGTTTTTAAAGACTTCCTATTTAAATTTTTATCAATGTAAAATTCAGTCCTAGTTAAATAATATTAGCCGCTAATTCAATATTCTTTTATTAATCTAAATTAATATGAATGTAATATCATATTTCCAATTTTAAATTAATTTAAATATTACATCAAGTTGGTTAAATTGAGTTCTGCATTGGTTTTCTGAATTTACATGCCCTTCTGCTAAGCAGGCATCTCTTTTTAGCGAACATAAAATTGTCTTCATTTAGTGTCTTGAGAGTTTACACCTTGCAAAGGCATCCCTGAATTAAAATGCGTTATACCAAAATCAGTTATTTCATATTGATTATTAAGAAACTATACGGATACATGGGTTTCCAAAATTAGAATTGCTTTTATGAGTATTTTAAAGTTTACTGTATATCTGAATAAGGTTGTTTCGAAGATAAGTGTTATTAAGAAAATTATAATTAAAGCAACAAATATAAATGAAATGGTCAATATTAAGCTTTATTTTAATTTAATTTCAAAAGTATTTAATTTAAATAAGTATTTAAAAACTATAAAACTGAAGTCTTACAGCAGTTAAGGCAGTTTTTATTTTAATTTAATTTCAAAAGTATTCAATTTAAATAAGTATTTAAAAACTATAAAACTGAAGTCTTAGAGCAGCTAAGGCAAGCAGCTAAGCAGTTAGAGCAGCAAATAATATGATATTTTTATAACTACTATGAGTTTGCAACTGTTACTTATGTCTGTTAGGCCAAGTTTAGTCTATCTAAAGCCAGCGCAGTCTACGCTTGCTTTGAAAATGGTGGATAACGTCAATATGGAGAAAAGATACAGTTTTCTGAAAATAAAAACGTTTGTGGTCTAATTTTTTAATATTTAAAAACTTACTCCAATGCTGCATTACCCGGGCAAATAAAAAATCTTAAAAACTGGGAAGCAGTGGATTTTGATAATTTTCATCTAAGTAGGAAAATGTCACCAAATTGGCCATATTTAAAAAAGTTAAATAACTTTAAAAATATTTAAGTTATTTGTCTGTTGTAAAGCCCGGATAATTCTTTACTGCCAGATAATAAACATAGTTTAAATCATTGCATTGCTTCAAGCGCAAGACACTTAAACTATGGCTTTTTATTTTCCTCGGCGAAAGAACTTCGTAAAACAGCGTTAAGTTTTGTATTAATTCATCACACTTTTTTGTTTAAGTACTGCAAATTTTTAAAGCAGTTAAAGTTTGCTTGAAGAGCAACGAGATGACAAAACGCATAAAAATATTCTAATAATCTTATTGCTAAATACAATATACCGATAATAACTTTTAATTATATATTTCAATGTTATTCATGTTAATGTATCTTTCTTATATTTATTCATTTTCAATGGGAAGAAATATTTTCACAAATAAGAATCCTTTTTATTTTCAAAAAGAGATCGAGTGCGAGTGCAATATTTTTGGAGCAAAGTCAACCAGATATTTGGACGTAGTGAATGGGAATAAGGGTTTTCATAAACATATTTCTTTCAATGGAGGAACGCAGTGTCCCACATTGATTGGTTAGCCACCAAGCTTCGTCAAGTGCGTTCTAAATTATACAGTTAGTAGTTATGTGTACCGAGTCTTCATTCAGAGTATAAACCGGGTTCGGGTACTTGATACCGGTAACTGAAATTAACTGTCCGGTTCGGGTAATAAAAATTTACTGGTACATCTCTAAATATTAGTCTGGTGAAGAGACCAAAGGTTTCACACTAATGAGGAGTTTCAACGCTTTTATTAGTGAGGAAATATCGCAACTTTCTCCCTTCTTAGGTATACAAAAAATAAATAAATAAAAAAATAAAATAAAGCTAATTTTAAAGAATTAATAGAAAGGAAACTTTGGGATTTTTTAAATATTTTTTTTGAATAGCGCAATTCGTTAAAAACTGTTTTCATGTTAAAATAAAAGGGAAACATTTTCTGAAAATGCCCATATATGTCTCAAAACATTGAAAGAATACTTTTAAAATAGCTTTATTTTGTCCAAAATACGACACTTCCAGAGTACGCATTAAAGAAATAATAGAGGGGAGAATTTGAGATTTTTTAAAAACTATTTTGAAAAGCTCGATTCTTTTAAAACTGCTTTTATGTTAAAATGTGAGCTTAAAATTTTCTGAAGATTCCCATATATATCTTAAAACACTGAAAGAATAATTTCGAAATAGTTTAATAATTTTACAGATCATTTTTGTAATTAAATCATGTTGTTTTTTACTGTTACTTTTTGTGGTCCAACAAAGGTTAAAAGTAAATAAACCCTAGTAAGATTAAATTATTTTAAGAGGTTAACTTTTGTCAACCATTCATTACTACTTTCTTCCAAGTCGCTGAAAATTCTAGGACACTCACTTTCTCTCTCTCTCTCTCTCTCTCTTTTTTTTTTTTTTTTTAAGTAGCTCTTATCTTGAGAGCTTTAGTTTAAGTTTAAATAATTTTCTCAGGAAGCAAAATTGTGACTGTCAAAACCTATTCTTCCGTAGATTGAAAAAGACTTTCAGAGAAAAGTTTAATTAATTTAAACAAGCTCTCGGTTTACATTAATTCTTGAAATGCCAGAGCTAATCCTGATTAAAGTTAATCTGACATGTTCTTGTCAAGTTGTCAGTTCATTATTTTCCTTTCTCTCCTATAAAGTCTATATTTTTTTTAAACTTTACAAACTAAACGATTTTATAACAAAAGATGTGTTAGATTTCTCTGAATAAAATAATTTTTAACTTGAATGCTACCTTGTTGTGCTACCATATATATATATATATATATATATATATATATATGGTTTTAACCGAAATTCTTGGGCGGAAAATAAGATTTCCAGGGAGTTTGCCTTATTTAACTATAAAACAGTGATTAATTTTGACGAGTCTTTAAATTTCGAATATCACAGTGACTGAAAGTACTAAGTAGCAGTCTTTAATTGTTTTAGAAATTTAAAAAAAGAGTTAAACCTTTAAAAGTTAAAAACTTTTAGCAAGCAATGCTTATTTGGCAAATCAAAATACCAAGAGAGCGAGGGCTTATTAAGGAAGTTTTGAGTTAGGTGGATTTTGTCTTATGACCAAAATGTGAAGAATGGCAAATGCATATGGCACTATAAAAATATCCTATAATATTCAAAAAATTCTAAAAATTAAAATGGATCATATTTTCATGTAATAATTAAAAATAACTTTAAAAAATTTATTTCGTTTAATTAATTGAATTTTTTCAACAACAAAAAATATTTTCTTGTATTTATGAACTTGCTTTTTTCTGAACTGTGTATTTCTACGTAAAAATCTCATTTTCTGCCATCATTTAAAGCTCGGGTCTCAACACTGTAAAAAATTTCGGTGTATAGTTGCTATCATTGTTGGTGCTGTAGTACAAATTCATTTTTAAGTATAGAACTGTAGTTATCCTGCAAATAAAATTAAATTGACAAAACAACATTTGTTTGAAAGAAGTAGCCCGAGTATAATTCTAAAGATGTGCTTATTTTTTAAATTAAATTTTTCTGCAAGGAAGCTTTTAAATTTATTTCAATGCGCATGAAAATATGTGTCAGTTAGCAAACAAAAAAAATTAATAAATAGATAATTAAAACTATATCCGGGGAAAAGTGAATAAAAGTGTGGCCACATGCACTGTAAAAAGTATTAGTTCACTTCAACAAAAAAAGTTGTGGCAACAATACACCAAAAATTAATTCCAGTCAAGAGGTTAAACAACATAATTGAAGAAAAAAGTCATTAGAAAACAATTTAGTAATAAACAATTTAAATTGTTTTTTCTTAAATACAAACTGATTTTTTGCTCTTTTTTTAAAAA